CGGATATCTCAACACAATATTATATCAGTTCGTACATCTTCTTCGCACTTGTCAGCCGACTGTGAGAAAGATCCATTCAGTATGTGGAACAAGTTATTCGACGATGAAATGCTCCATCAAATTTTGACCTGGACTAATGCAAAAATTTATATCTACAAAACTAAGTTCGCGCGTAGCAATCGACCTGAACTGAACGATTTGGACTTAGTTGAGCTGAAAGCTTTTATTGGTCTACTATTTTATTCTGCTGTTTTGAAGTCGAACCACGAAGACACAAGTTACTTATTCGCATTAGATGGTACAGGCTGTGAGATATTCAGGTGTACAATGTCGGAAACCAGATTTCTTATATTGTTACAGTGCCTTCGTTTCGATGATCCTAATGAACGTGATGAGAAGAAAAAGACTGACAAGTTAGCTGCTATATCCCCCATTTTCAACAAGTTCGTAAGTAATTCGCAACAGTTGTACGAACTAAGTGAATGTGTAACTGTGGACGAAATGCTAGTCAAGTTTCGTGGAAGAAGTCACCTAATATCATACATGCCTAAAAAACCAGGTAAATATGGTCTAATGATACGAGCATTATGCGACGCTAAGAACTTTTATTTTTATAATGGTTATGTATATTCTGGAAAAGACTCCGATGGTATTAGGTTGACAGTAGAAGAAAAGAAATTCCTAGTCCCCACACAGTGCGTCTTACGTCTAACGAAACCAATCCAAGGAAGTAACCGCAACGTCACAGCTGATAATTGGTTTTCATCTATTGAACTCGTAGATGAATTAGCAAAACGAAAGTTGACGTATGTAGGGACAGTAAAAAAGAATAAAAGAGAGATACCTATCGAATTTCAGCCAAATAAGCGTCGAGAAGTAGCATCTACCTTATTTGGATTTACGAACCAAAAAACGTTATGTTCTTGGGTTCCTAAGAAAAATAGAGCTGTAATACTCATATCTTCCATGCACCATGATGATCAAGTAGACCAAAATACTAAAAAACCGAAATAATACTTTATTACAACTCTACTAAAGGAGGAGTTGACGAAACGGATAAAAAATGTTCCATTTACTCGTGTAGCCGCCGTACACGGAGATGGACAATGGTGTTACTGTTTCGAGTGCTGGATCTAAGTGGCATGAATGCATACATTCTCTACAACATGTATCAATCAAAAGAGGTTGAAAGAGGAGATTTCCTAAAGGAATTGGCTCGTTCCCTTGTAGTGCCGCATATGCAAAGACGTGTTGTAAACACAAAATTGCCGAGAGAGCTGAGGTCAACTATAGCTCGAATATTGGGTAAAGATATGGTAACTGAAGATGTCCAAACACCACCCGTCAGTCAAGGAACTAGAAGAGCATGTAGAATATGTCCCACAAAAAAACATAGAATGACCATTTATGTTTGTGTGGGGTGCAGCAAGCCTGTGTGCCTACAATGCTCTCGCCCTTTGTGCGCTGACCATAGATTACTGCCTATATACTAGAGAGCTGACTGCCAGTAATTTAGAGATATTATGACTGCTGTCAGAATTTTTGTTTTTCTTTTTTCAGAAAGAGCTTTTATGTTTTTTTTTCGTTTGTTCATTAAGTTAGAGGATAAATAGGTTTTATTTTGTTTTATTGTTAGATTTAGTAAAATTGAGTGAGTTAAAATGATAACCCTACCAAAAGTCTTAAAAAGTGCCATGATTGTTAATTTTTCATATTTTTATGATTATAATAAAGAAAGTTGATTACAAATTACTATTTTTTTCTTATTAAAGACCTCTATTTATGAATAGAAAGGCTAAGACGATGTGCGGTAATGTTTTCTAGAAAAAAGTTGCTTTTGAATGTAGTAGCCTGAGACTCCACGTCCGCACTAGTGTTGAAAATATATCACGTCCATACTAAAAGGTTAAAGGTTTTTATGGACACTTTTTAATACCCAGTCTGTACTCCTTACTTCTACACTCCATACTAAAGAGCTTTGCCAAACACCTATATTATTTATAACTTTATAGTTTAAAATCTTTTTAGTTTCCATAAAAAGTTATAGTTATAGATTGAAACCTCTTTTATAATATTTTCAAATAAAAAAAAACAAAAGAAAAACCATGGTGGCCACTGACCTCTATATATACAAGTGTATATATAGCGGTCAGTGATGGTGGCAAAATTGTTGGTAATTCGTTACATCAAGGAAAATTTACATTTTTTATTTTTTTTTTAAATAACGTTTTCTCCAAACTAGGATTTTCTCCTGTATTGTGGAAGCAGTTTACAAACATAAATTTCAAGGAAAAGGATCAAAAAAGGACAAACATCCAGACCCCGAACAATTAGATACTTGTAGGCCATACAAATACTTGTTCCGTGCGGGATTCGAACCCGCGGCCCTTAGCGCTGTAACTCATTGCTAAGCCACTGCGCCACGGAGCCGTCAAAATATTGTTATACTGTTAATTAATGAGTCGAGATAAAATGTTGCTATTCAACACTCTCAATTCTCACCCTGAGGTCCTGCACACCAGCCAAAACGTGACATCAAGGTTGTGATCACGTTATACCAGTACTGGAGATGTGGCTGAACGGCACACGGATATCGTGTTACTACGCAGAGACATGATAAATTTTTCCAAATGACCGCCAGAAGACAACCCAATATCACAGTGCAGCGATGCTACTACAAAGGCTCCAATCCTCCTCTTCTCTACAATCTTCCTCTTTCCTCCAATCCTCTACAATCCTCTACAGAGGTTTCAATCTATAACTATAACTTTTTATGGAAACTAAAAAGATTTTAAACTATAAAGTCATAAATAATATAGGTGTTTGGCAAAGCTCTTTAGGAAGCTGTTGCTGCCAACTAAAGAAAAAAGCGCTTTAAGCCCTAGCGTACTAGGGATATTGCACTCTCGAGCTCGGATGCTGCGGCTGAGGTTATGGGATTATTTAATTAATTATTTACGATGTAAATAAATAACTTATGGATAAACTGATATCGGGTGCTGATTGCGCATGTGAAAATCTACAAATTAACATTGTTTAATTATTCTTTAATCGTCATTTTTATGCAAAAAATAATAATGTATTATTTCACAGCACCCGCCTTATTTTTTTTAATATCTAAACAAATATTTGACGCGCAAACAAATAATTAGTACCGATAAACATCATTTTTTACGCGCAATCGATTTATACTAGTCGCATTTTTAATTAATTCCGAGTGCCAACTTCATGGACCTACTCAGTACAGTATATAGATAAATAAATATGTAGCAAGCTAGTATAGTATATTATAGCTATGTCTCAGTATATACAGAGTATATACTAGATACAGACATAGAACAATACATAGAACAGTGACATCTGTATGTAAATGACAGAACTAACTTTACAGCAAATTAAATTTTATTTCGTTCGTTTTAAACTATGTCCAGTACATCAATACAATAAACGCTATTTGCGACGAAATTAAAAACACTTCTCATATAAGATAATAATTTTGTCTAAATTTAAGTACGTATTAATGAACGGCAAACGACTCTTCCCCGCTCCAAAAAGTATGAGAATGCTTACAATGGTATCCTTTTTTTATATATTATACATTTCATTGAATGCAGATACCCAGCCGTGGATCATATTATATATATATATATATATATATATATATATATATATATATATATATTATATATATATATATATATATATATATATATATATAACCCGTTCCTTCGTTTCGTAACCGGGTAAAGCGTGTGTGATAGATCATGGAAACTATGCCAAATATGAGGCAATCAATAGGGAGGCATATTATGTTCAGCAGTGGACTTTAAAATCCTGTAACAGTTATCGGATAAGAGTAAGAAACTTATATTCGCTTATTATATACATATGTATTATGTGTCTTTCATACAATCATTCATATTCATCTCGCTTATAATTAAACCTTAATATGGTGCTCGAAAATACTTATAACGCCATCTATAAGTATAAAATTATATCAGTTAATTTATTATTACAGTAAAATAAAACTTATATGATATTTAGAAAAGAACGCGTTGAAATAATACGCCTGGTAAAGATATAAAAACAACTCAAAATCGGTTTTTTTTTATAGAAGGAGGGCAAACGAGCATGTGGCTCACCTGATGGTAAGCCTAATGGTATTAGTGTTCTGTGATGGTAAGTGACTACTGCCGCCCATGAACAGTCGCAGCAACAGGGGAATGCAGATGCGTTGCCGGCCTTTTAGAAAGGAGCAGGTATATATAATGTACTCCAGGTATATATAATGTACTCTGTGGAAAGTAGTGAACTCTATTCTTGAAGGTAACTAAGTCCTATCGGTCCGGAAAAGTCGCCGGTGGTAAACAATTCCACAGAGAAGTTGTACGAAGAAGAAAACTAGTAAAACGTACAGTAGTGGACCGCCACTGCTATTTTACGCTGGTATTCTGTGAGAGCGTGGTGGAGCAAGCCGACCCATTCGTGCTAAAACCATATTATGGCTGAAGTGTGGATCTTTGTCTATTTACACCAACCAGTAAAAGTTTGAAATATACAGCAAAAACATTATTATATAAACATGTGTGCATGTTATGTTTTGAAGTAAAGAATCCCTTATTTTAAACAAAGTAAAGTATTCACAATCTCGTCGTTGAGTTGTAACGGGCTATAACGAATGAAAAATGTAAGTATTTGTAAGTATGAATAAAAGTTTAAAAATGCATTGTTTATCTGGTAGATTTGGGTCATTTGCTTGGTAGATTTTTGTAAATTTTTATTTTAAAGCGGTAACACTTTGCAATGCGTAACACAGGAAACAGTTTTCCGATTCCGTTTTGTAGCATCGCATCATTGTGCCGCCATTGGCCGCCATGTTGGTTTGTCTTGGCGCTTTTTCGCGAGTAATGTAATGGCTGTATAAATCTGAAGTATTTTATAGTGTGATAATTTAAAAAAAAAATAGACGACTGTGCAGTGGACACTATTTTAATTACAAAATGGATCCTTCTAAAATGAAGGTTGTGGATCTAAGATCCGAACTTGGTGCTCTTGGTTTGGACACGAAGGGTAATAAGGCGGCATTAGTAGAACGTTTGAAGAAGGCTCTAGAAGCTAAAACTGGCAGAGGTATATATATTCGTTTTAAATTTTATTAACTATTTTAATATTTTAGACATACACTACATTTTGTCACCACGTATTTTTGATAATACGAATTAGATGCACGTGTAACGAGTGTCCCGCCATGTTTCATTTCGTTATTTAGATAATAAATCAATACTCCCAAGTTTTTAATTAAGAATAAGGGTGCCATAGGTGATCAGTTTTTAATGGTAAGGGGATGTTACCTATAGCTAAGCACGTACATTTATCCGCGATTACAATCAAATGCAAATACGTTGTTACCTCTGACGACTAAGATGGAATATCTCGTTAGCAGTAAAAAAGGTACTTGGTTTTTAACACTCATCGAGGGACATCAGTATAAAGTTGTTATAATTTTACGTTGGTATTCTGTGATAGCGTGTTCATTCCCTGGTCGAGCCGAGGTACCACCATTTCATCCTGCAGTCAAAAAAGCGCTCGTATGCAGGCTAGTTTTATGGCTATTTTTAGCTGTAAATGTAAAGCCGTCAATTTGCCGCCCATAGGGCGCAACACAGTACAATGTTTAGACTTATTGCCTCGCAATGTTATGTCTCGGTTTTGAACTCAATTGCTCGGCCATGCAGTTTAAAAACATTGCCGAAATATTTTCTGCAAGATATTACATGTATACTAAACAATAACATTGCAGGAAAAGAATTGCTGGACTCTAGTTCTCAGCAAAAATTTAATAAGATGCAATTGTTGTAGCCCGGTAACAAGTCGCTTGATGCAGCTGGAGTTTGGCTCTACCTCATAAAATGAAACTATACCTATATCTCATTAACAAAACTATGATAATACTAGTTAAAATCTCAATATATCCAGAAAAGGAAGACTCATTTATATTTTACAAATCATTACTAATTATTAGTCTTGTGCCTGCCCAGCATTTTAAAGATTGCTCCATACTAGTTTATTTCGGACAGTGAACTAGTTCATTCTAATAGTTCTGTTAGCTGTAATCAGTCATCAGTACCATTAACCTGTTTAAATTGTATCTATCTGTATGGAATGGTTATCTTAGTCAGTCACGACTGAATCGGAGAGGCATTCATTGGCTCTTGTCTTCTCTAGTACTTCTTATTAGTTTGTGCTCTTGTCCTTGACTGGCTACTCACTAATTATTGAGTTACATTTGCATTTGGTATTGGTGTTTTGCGAGTGTAGGTGTACGAAAAGAGCTGTTAGACCATTGAGCTATTATGTACTATGTACTAGAAGCAACACTGCATTCAGCTACTATGTTCCATTCAACTGCGGTGCATACACCGCACATTAATCAGTCACTCGCTAGGCGCTTGTAGAGTTGACATGTGTTGTGTTGATTTAAAAAAAATCTCGACAAAAATATGCCGGCATGTGTACTTAGATATTGCACAAATCATTCAAGAAATGTCAGTAAAAACCAAGGAATTACTTTTCATTGGTTAATAAGATACTTAATCAATAAAAAAGTATTATAGTTTAATAATAAAACAAATTATTCCTAAGACGCCATCTCGTGTCATGGAATATAGATTATGAAATTAATTTGTTCAGATGCGATATTTCTGTGGGTAGGTAGTACGTATAGGAAGAATATATTATTATACACATTTTTGTTTTTGTAGAAACATATAAGTTATTATAATTAGACTAATTTTTGTATTTAAATCTGCTCATTATTCTTTTATTTTATTTTAGATTTCCACATCAAAGTCAAAGTGGAATAAATTCGTCCATTTTTAACTCTAGCGTGCCCAGCATTAATGAACGACTGTTATTCTAATTTAAATAAATATATTTGTAATTTAAATGTTATATTAATAAGTTTTGTTAAACATACATTTAGTACGTTATTTTTTAATATTTGACATAAATACCTTTTAAAAAATTCAGATAAGATATCATTAAAATGTAACTGTGATATAATATTATATTAAATAAGCAAATATAATATACAAAATAAATGACAAAATTTAAAAATTGTTCTCCATATAATTTACTTATTTAACAATACAATCCACTATTGCCTACTGATCATTCTACCTATGTTTAGCACACAGAGTAGCACACATTTTTTGTTTGAAATAGCTGTTCTAGTACGTAAGTACATATTATATCAATGTGTTAGACTAATTAATCGCATTTGGAAACATTTCTTTTAGTACAGTGCCAAGATATGTTTCCTAATCGTTTATCATTTGTGAACTACACAAGACTATGAATTACAGGCATGGGGTGATACATGCAAATCTTTGTAACAAGGCTTTTATAATGTGGAAATATCAAAAAATACTTAGATCTTGGGTCAATTCATACCGGCAACAGTGTTGTAATAATGTTGTCATAATAATATTTCTGCCTTGGTTTTGATGTTATTAGATTCTGCATTATGGATATAAGCAATATTATTGTAATATAAAGATATTGAAATCATCCCATCCCTTTGAGTCCTTCAGCCCAAAACAGAATGACATGTACATTTCAAGTGATGCAGAAACTATGCTCAATATGTAAGAATCAATCACACACACATGCACCTAAAGACATTCTTATTACATTTAACCGTGATTCAGAATACTGTACAATACTATCATGTCCTGCTATGTAAAAATAACCTTTCAATTGATAGTAAATACCAACTTTAAGGATGCGTTTGCAAATCAACCAAAATTAGGGTGTTTTTCGGTAGATTTTGTGACAAAACTAAACCAAATCAAATATAAGTAAAAACTACCATGTATAGATTGGTTCTTCATCTGCAAATGTCTGTAACTCTTTTGTTGAAAATAGTAGTTTTTTATATTGTAAAAACGAACTTTCGTTGCCATTTTCTACAAAATTAACGATACCGGCTTGTGTTTCGGTATATGTTTTGGTCTATTATCAACATATTTAAAAAATTTAAAAAATACTATAAGATGACAGACATATTCAATTAAAAAACCCTGAGTTTATTTTTTAACAAAATGTCACAAATAGTCGTAAAAAAAATAAAAACTGATGCACATTTTTTCACATATTTTGGTAATACGGATGAATCATAATGTATTGCAATAAGGGCTATTTTATTGTTGGTGCCTGCTTTGATTTATTGTACAAAGATTTCGATGAAACCACAGTCCGCGCTCGGCCGCCGTCGTGAGTGGACACTGTATCGCCTGTTTGCAGTGGCTCATTCTGAAAAGATCGCTGTACATACACAAAATATTAGAAAAAGAACAAATTGGATTAACATAAGTACTTGACAAGTGATAAAATTATTATTTTTATACTCACAGTTTTTTATTTCGCTAAAAATAAGTAGGATATATAAACTTACCTACTACTGCAACTCCTGGACGAGCGGAACTAGGTGTGCCGAGTTTGGACTCGTTTTGTTGGTTATGATGAGACCTTACCTCCGCACTTGATGGTGTGACCTGAAGGTGTGCTTTCGCGACCGCTATTTGAACTTCTTGTAGAGTAAAACTAGGTGTGCCGAGTTTGGGCTTATTTTGTTAGTTATGATGAGACCTTACCACCGGACTTGATTGAGTGACCTGAAGGTCTAAATCGGTGATTGCAACTGGAACTCCTAGACTGGTAGAACTAGGTGTGCCGAGTTTGGGTTCGTTTTGTTAGTTACGATGAGACCTTACCTCCGCACTTGATGGTGTGACCTGAAGGTGTACTTTCGCGACCGCTATTTGAACTTCTTGTAGAGTAAAACTAGGTGTGCCGAGTTTGGGCTTATTTTGTTAGTTATGATGAGACCTTACCACCGGACTTGATTGAGTGACCTGAAGGTCTAAATCGGTGATTGCAACTGGAACTCCTAGACTGGTAGAACTAGGTGTGCCGAGTTTGGGTTCGTTTTGTTAGTTACGATGAGACCTTACCACCGGACTTGATAGAGTGACCTGAAGGGGTAATTCAGTAACTACTGCTGGAATTTCTGAACGAGTAGCGCGCTGACATGTTATTCATCATCTAGTACTGAGAAAATTGCCGACACGTGCTTATGTTTTGACTATTTTTGTGAGAAAAAAGTATTTCGTTGTGTTATTCTTTGTGAAAATTGATAATTATATGATAAAAATGAGTGGCAGGAGATCTAATATTTGGACTTATTTTAGAGAAACTGACAACCAAAGTAAAGTGAAATGTACTAATGTAATGTAATGTTTCTTTGTTTGATTCAAAAAACATTTTATTAAACTTTCTATTTGCTATAATTGGAAACTAAAAAACTAAACTAAACATAACACTATATAGATTTAACCTGAATATACTTTAAACAGTAAATTTATGAAAACATGGCATTACAATTCATACATTTCAATACAAGCAGACACTTTGAGTACCACTTTAACAAATGTTTGGTGATTTAGTCGAATATTCAGTAAAGCTGCAGAATATGAAACAAATATTCAGCCCATCTCTAATAATAATTATGTCAAAATATCAATTTTTTTTTAATTCTTTTTAGTTACTTCAAGTGGGCTTTTACTTATAATTAAAAATATTTTTTTTTACCCTATTTGAGTGGAATAAGGAATATCAGTCTAAATGTTGTGTCTAAAAAAAACCTTGGAATATAATTTTTTCTCCATATTTATACAGGACTACCTATTTGTGTAACCTTTTTAATGAAAAATAATTGTCAAAATCAGCTCACAATTGATGAAGATATCGCATAATATATAAAACACATAAGAATACTTCTTCTTGTTTTGAAGTTGGCTAAAAATAGTGTAAAAATAATACCACTAATCAGAAATTCCCATACTACTTTTTTACCACTACATTAGAGACTTCACAACATCTTAAAATTGAGCAGCTTTTGAGTATTTGGGCATTAGAGACTTGACAATATTTGACTTATTGGCATATTGTACAGTATATTGTATTGTACTCTTTTTTTACTTTTTTGTTTCCATACAGGGCTAGATAATGATGAGACAAATTGCAATCATTTTTTATTTTGAATGTACACCATCAAACAGTGAAGTAATCGCCAGACTATGTTTGTGTGGAAGAATGAGTGGCTAGTGTACCCTTAACATGAGAATGTTGATTTGTGGTGAACCTAAGTGATCCTTGTAATGGCTGTACGTACGTACGCTGTACGTAACCTACGCATACATGCTCGTCGGTTAAGGGTACTCCTAATTTGGCCCGTTTTCAATAAATCGCCAAGTTGGTCGATAAATTTTCGCCTAGGACGTCCCTTTCCGACTCTGCCATTCACTTCTGCACCATAAATTTTCTTTGTCACTCTTTCCTCATTCATTCTTTCCACATGACCAAACCACCGAAGCATTCCTTTCTTAATCCTGGTCACAACATCATCTTGCAAACCACACTCTTCTCTTATTACACAATTTCTTACCCTGTCATTCAGATTTAACCCTAACATGCTCCTTAACAACCGCATTTCTACTGCGTTTATTCTACTCTCGTGCTTCTTCTGCCACACCCAACTTTCACTACCATACGTTAAAGTAGGGACCAACACAGCATTGTGAATTGCCATACGTGCCTTTTTCGACACATTTTGACTCTTCACAATAGAGTGCAAGGCCCCATTTACTCTATTTCCCGACAAACACAATATAATACATTAAACTAAAGCTCATTAATTATCAACGAAATTATAATATAAAAACAAAAAAGGAGTTGTAGTACGAATATTGCATAATGATTTGGTTATGAAAATTTTACTTACGCCGTTCGTCGCGTGGGGTCTTTCAGAGCCCGCGCGCAGACAAACATGTCCGTACCACATAGCGCTTGTGCGAACTGAAGTTAGCCGTAATACGCGCCAATTGTAATTCAATTCATGAAGGTACCTAAGGAGCAGAGTCACTACGATTATTTTGAATATAGGTTTTTATTGATTTTGTAATACCTGGGCTTTGAAAGACCCCACGCGACGACCCGAGGATTAACACATCCTCCAAGTAAGTTTCAGTCAAATCTTCATCTTGCGATTCAGGCAACACTTGAATTTCACTTGGTTCGATACCTATTGGAATCATTTTTATTAATATGTATGTACCGATGTACTGATTAGATCCGAAAATAAAGAAATCTTTAGCCACGAAAATAAGAATTGGGTCGCATTTTTTTAACCCGCGAATAGTGAAAACGCGAATGAAGGAAATGCGAATAAGGAGCTTTTACTGTATACATACTAATGACTTGAAAATGATGGAGAGTTTAGTTGTTTTGTACTGATACAATTGTTTGAAATAAATTGAATCATGTAATATTTTTATAGTTTTCAGTTGATCTGGCAGGGATCATGCTTATATTGCTCACAAATACTATGAAATATCCTGATATTTAATACTCTGAGCTACCATGGTTTACAGATGAAATTGATTGACTTTTGAATGCATTTTTGATGACTACACAGTGTTTGCGGAGACTTCGATCCTGGATACCACCACGGAGGATTTAGATGAGCCGGCGACCCCGCGAAAATTGGGGCCGGCGGCGCGAACTACACGGAGATCTTCCTCATCACGGCTAGTCTCTACACCTGCCAAGGTAGGTTTTAGGATTTAGAGGTGTTCAATTTAGTCCCATCATACATTGTTACCTACTTGACAAAAGTCTGTTAAATGACCGTAAAAGCTTTAAAATACTGTTAATCAAATATTAAAATAAGATGAATTAATGTCTTAATTAGGTTAAGCCACTTGTTATAGTATAATTACATTTGCAAATACACATGCCAGCCTTGTTTTCAATAAAAATCAACATTAAAAACAAATTTGGAAATTATTATGAAGTTACAAACTAAGGCAAACACCGTACAAACCACATACATGTGCAGTACTCGCCGTCACAAACATTAACTAAAATGTCAGTTATGCTGTCAGAGCCAAGGTCCTTTCACTTTTGTTGGGACGACGGTTAAATTATTCACTAATTCGTGCGTAAAAGAACGCCGTACCCGAAATCTGTCATTTGGACCCACAGACAGTGAATTGAGTGGTCTGACAGTCATCATCATCAATTCACTGCACTAAAATCACAGAAAATAGAGAATTGAAGGTAAAGCTAAGTTTGTGCTGCTCTTAAGCATAATTATTTTACTAGCATATAAATAAAATAATAAAGAAATGTTTAAAGTCTAATATGTCCAAGTTATTCACTTAACTTGCAGAATTAACACATTTCAATTTTGTTTTCACAATTTCTAACAGACAATCTGTGTTTGATGTAAAATACAGTGTCATCATCAAAATATCTGGCAAGTTAAATTTCAGACTAAGGTTTATGTTACTATTATAACTTTCTATAGGATTCTTCTCTTTTCAAATCATATATGACTGACAACAGTTTCAACATATACATTAAAAATACCAAAACGTAAAAATTACAAAACCTCATCTTTTTGTCATGATTTGTGGATAAAAAATGTGTTTTTTCACCAATGGTTCTGTATTTTTTGCACCTTATCTCACAGGAATTAAATGTTTCATGAAATCAGACATAAGATATTATACTTGTTTACAGCAATCAAAAGATGACCAGCCAGATTCTATAGAGGAAGAGATTAAAGAAGAACCAGATGAAGATTCAGACCCCAAATCTGATTCAATGAAAAGAAGCGAAATCCCAAGGAAGTCTGATACATTCAAAAGGCAAGATAACCCAAGAAAAGCAGAAAGGGGTGGTTCTAAAGATGCCAATGAGGATGTTTACTATGTGGAAGACAAGTTAGTAACATACTCATTTAATTTAGGCATAGACTATGAAACAAATTAAAATATATATAGTAGTCTCAATGCATGCCAACCTGTTTGTATTTCTGTTGTTTTACAATCCTATTCAACCAAAAGTTGGAGGAAATCTCTTTTAGCCATATGATCGCGTGGGTGGACCTTGTGTGTTCTTTATTTGTTTTTAACATATGTACTTCTCAAAAGATGATGCTACCTGTTCATAAATTAAGAAAGACAATATTATGGTTCAACATTAAATCATCATTTACTTTGGTTTACCACTTAAACCATTGGTATGAAACAAACTGTCCAGAAAAAAATGAAACTAAGTTCAGCTTTTAAAGTAACATCTTACATCAAATGGGTTGTACAATCCTAAATGTGTATAAAAATGAAGTTTGTTTCTTGGTTCGTCTTCTATACATCCTTTGACCATCTGATGGTAAGTGGATACTGTGGCCCATAGAAACCCACACTTATGCATTCCCATATATATCCAATTACAATGATGAAACTGTGGAAACTTGTGTGCGCGACTGCAAAGTCTTCTTACAAAAAAGGCATATCAATACATTCCAGAAACAGCTAGTATATATCAATGAAGTAAACTTTTTCTAAAAACCTTTCTAGAAAACTTAATGACATCTCGAACTATTAAATATACCTTTAATTTCTAAAAATTATGTTATATACTTTTTATTTCATTTACATCATCATCATTATTAGAGCACTTCATAAGTCCACTACTGAGCATAGGTCTCCCGCAAAGAACGCCACAGCATAGTCCTTAGCTACCTGTATTCCATATATTTCCTATATCTTCCAATATGAAGAAATTTTTATTTGTGTGTTTATTAACTAACGCATTTTCTTCTTATAGGAGTAAGTCTCCCATAATGGTTGAGGATGAAGATCAAGGTAAGGCTTTTTCTTTGTTATGTCATCTATCTTTTAGGAGACTCAGATAATTTCATTCCTGCTAATTTTACGATCTATTCCTAATAAATTAGGAGGAGTTAGTTTTAGTAATATCTATTTTAATTTTAATTTTTCTTCCTTTGACCTTTAATAAAAAAGTTTAAGGAATTCAATTTTATCCTATCAATCAAATATTATTTTGATTTATAGTATCTATTATTATTTTATATTTTTCTTATTTTATATTTAATCCTATTATTATTAAAATTTGAGATAATTTAATTTTTAATTGATAATTAATAAGCTTATTGTAGCATTTTTATTGAAAACTTATGAAAGAATAAATCAGTGATGTGCAAAGTACGGCCCCCGGGCCAACTCTTTCTTAAACTTTGTGGCCCGCCTTTAAAAAAGTTTGCCCACTGGAATAAATTATTCTATTAATTTATACTAAGGTTATTATAACTCGAATATATTTTTAACCCTACAAAATAATATATATATATATATATATATATATATATATATATATATATATATATATATATATATATATATATATATATATATATAAACATTATTGTGATGTTAGGATATATCATGACATCAAAATAAGGAGTCATGTTTAAAGCATATAATTATTGTTTGCATAGATGAGATGGAAGGTCAGGAAGATTCAAATCCTGGTGATAAAACTGCAGGTGGAAAGGGAGAACAAAAAAAGATGGATCATGATGGTGAAGACAGAGATGGAGATGAAAGAAGAGAAGGTGGAGATAGAAGAAGAAGGGAGTCTGATCAGGTTTGTATTTTGGGCTGGCCCTTATCTAGTCTTCTATACATTATAATGTATTAAAAATATAATAATATCCTCGATGATTCATCACCATCACAGTTTCTTTAGCATCCATTTACCTACGCATACATCCTCTTCAATTTAAGATGTCCTTTTCTGACTCTAGCATTCACTTCTCCAGTAATATATCTACTTCTCTTTCCTAGTTCATTCTTTCTAGGTCTGTTTGAATTTCTAGTAGAGTCCTAAAAATCCCTAGAGAGGGCAATAACAACTTACAACTGGATATTTACCATGATTATATATTAAAAACATTTATTATATAATATATTCACTTACAGCTATCATTACGGTTTTGCTCTAATATGATAGATAAACATGAATTATAGTAGTATGTACCACAACTCTATAAACTAAAAAATAAAAACGTCAAATCAGCATTTGTAAAAACTTAATTAATTTAAACCTTACAGAGAAGGGATAGAGAAAGGGAAAGGGAGCTAACTGAAGAAGAAGAATGGGCACAGTTAAATGAGAGGCTCAAGATACGTGAACAAGAGAGATTGGAAAGAGAGAAAAAACAAGCTGAAGAAGATGCTAAGAGAATTGAGGAACTGAGCAAGGTAGTTGTTTATTTTTTTACTGTTATAATTTAAACTGATTATTCACATAAATTTAGTCATTGTAAACCAAGTTATGAAAAAATAAGACTGCAAAAGAGGAAAAGTTGTATCCCAAACTATAAATGCCTAATTTTCGACATTATTGAATTATTTATATCTGATCTACCTCCAAATTTCAGGATCCAATAAAGCTTCAACGTTTGAAACGAAAACAGGAGAAGAAAGCCCGATGGAGCAATTTCTACAAGACTGTAGCAGTAACTAATGAAGTTTTGAGACCACCTGTTGAGGTAATTTTTTCTTCATTGTGTGTGAATGTCTTCATTTTGTGGTCATTTGCTTTCTCTTCATATTATTCAGACAATAAAGGAGGGAAGAATCATCATACAGTTTAAAATACTTATAATTAATTTCCCAAAAACAAAGTTGTCAATTGTATTTTACTTCACCACCAACCATATGTTATATCATCAAGCAGCATTTAAACGTATTGCAACAAACAAGTCCACAGTTTAGTGGTGTCAGTACCAAGAATACAATATGTTTTGCTTGCATAAATACATTTTATGACACACCCTACTCATAGACTACCATGGCTTATTTAAATACATACTTGCGTGAAGAAAAACTGTTTAATTTTATAAATACTTGCAATTATTTTCAAGGCCTGTAAAAATTACTTAGTATAGTTTGTTATAGTTTAATTTATTGAATATTGGTTATGTTTGTTAGCTAATACATATTTTAATATAATCAAATGTTTATAGGAGGAGATGAAACTTAGCAAGAAGGTTGAAGCCCAACCAACAAAGGTCCCTGAACCTGAGATTAATGAGGAAAAAGTTACTCTTTCTTGGTGTAAGTATATTATATCTCACTATAACGCCTATTTAAGGCGCCACATAGATTTACATATAGACATATTTTTAGTAAATTTAAAAAATTTGAAATGTGTGGCAAAAAAACTTAGAAAACAAAAATCACTAATGCGTTCAGCCTATAATTAAGTTAAAGTTAAAATAAAAAGTAACATTGTTGACCTGCAACGTGAATATATATTTGTTGCTTTTTTTCTAAAGTAATGAAACACTGAGCAGGTAGATTATTATTTTGTATTTACCTTTGTACACTCCATAGTGTATGAAGTCGCAAGCAAAATAACAATTATGTGCCATATATATATTTTTACATGTGTTGTACCACGAATGGATCGGCTCGACCGGGGAAGATTCGGCCGAACATTATTCGGCAGGATCACCCCGGCACATAACCAATTTATGTCGAAACTTGTTACCATAAAGCGCGCGGGATTAGCGCAGGACCCCTGCCCACGCTCCCCCGCCACATCTGACATGTTATTGCATCGTCTAGTACTGAGCAAATGTCGGCACACGGTTGTTTTGACTATTTTTGTGAGAAAAAAGTATTTCGTTGTATTATTCTTAGTGGAAATTGATAATTATATGATATAAATGAGTGGCAGGAGATCTAATATTTGAACTTATTTTGGAGGAACTGACAAAGTAAAGTCAAATGCACCAATGAAATGTGATGTTTCTTCATTTGGTTCCAAAACCATTTTATCAAGCTTTCTATTTGCTATAATTGGAAATAAATCTACAGTGTTTAAAAAAACAACGCTATACAAGTAAATTTAACCCATAAATAAAATATACTTTTAGCAGTAAAATTATGAAAAACATGGCATTATTGAATTTGTACATTTCAATACAGTGGACACTTTTAGTTCCACTTTAACGAATGTTCGGTGATTTAGCCGAATGTTAATATGAATATTCGGTAAAGCTGCCGCATATGCCGAATACCGAACATGAAACGAATATTCGGCCATCACTAGTATTGACATGGGTAAAGCAATCAGGAAATGGTCTTAGAACATCCACTAATGAGTTTTAAGAAGTCCATAGGCCTCTCATCAATAACATACACTAATATTATTGTGCTGTCATTTCAAAGAATCTTACATCATCTTACATAATGTTAGAAATGTATATGTTAGTTTCATATGTTCTATTTTAATTTAAACACTTGTATATGTATTTATATGCAGGATTTATTATTAGAATTATTGCTATTTAATTCATAGATGACAGCGATCTGAACCAATATTTGGAGGTTCCGGATTTAAATGGGGTTGTTCCATTAACTGAGGGGGCGCTTGCGCACGCCTGGGCCGGTGCTAGAGCTACGCATGGCGTTGACAACGGACGTGTTTGTTATGAGGTAAATAAATTGCAGTGCTTACTATACTTGAACGGGTTATACCTAAAGACCGATTTACACTTCGACAAGTACAGTAGCGAGTTAACTTGCAAACCTGGCGAGTTAAGTTTGCACCTCGTTTGAACGGCAATAAGCGAGTTAAGTAGCAAGTTAACGCTTAAGTTGAACGGGATAGCGGCCGAGCTATTTTTCGGTGAGTTAAGTGCGAAGTGCTGCCCTCCTGCGCGTCTCCCGCCACCCGCAACTAAACTCGCCGTTCGTGTAAACGAGTGAGTTTAGTTCAGTGCATAAGTTACAGGACGCAATATTGTTTGCGCGCCAAAACGTACAATTGTACTTTTATAATTAAACTCGCCAGAAAGCTTGTACGATACTGTTTATTGAATATTTATACGTTTTATATTGAGTTTTAATAATAAAATGGATGTAAGATATCACGTATAAATTGTACAGGAGTATTTAGAACACGAATGTTTATATAATAGTAGAAGTTCAAATTATAAAATTAAACCTGCTCGAGATGCTGCACTCAAGAAAATTCTTAAAAACTTCTTTAACAACAACCATTCATACTTCTCTGAATGGATCATTTAATTCTTGATGTAATCCTAGAATCATCTTAAACGAAAACCGGAAAAATTCTGTAGTTTTGAAACGTCATACTCCAACAAACTCTATAAAGTAATGTCCTTGACTAAACTCGCCACGAAGACATTGTTTGAACGCTACTGCCCACTTAACCGTTTGCTGTCAACTGCCCTGTAACTAAACTCGCTACTGTACTTGTCGAAGTGTAAATCGGTCTTTAGAACTTTGTTTGGACTTCGATAAGTATCAGTTGTTATCAAAATTAATGCGATTTCCTTGTTATATGGTGGTTTCAGTCTAACTGAAATAAAAAAAGTACTTTAAAATCTACATATAAAAAATCAATTGCTAGTCTCGCAAAAACTCGAAAATGGCCTTACCAATTTTTTTTGTATTTGAGTTGGTGTCTGGATGGTTTAGATTTACAGTTGTAACTGGTGGCTTGCGCTGTTGTCGAGATCCAGAAATCACCCGTGCGAAACGGGGGCGATTCGCTAAATATAAAAGTAATGAACTTGTAAATAATTAAATCAATAATTATGTTCATGTCCTTTCATTCTATTGTGTAATTCTTACTGTGACAACCAAATCAAATTTTAAACACGGTGATTTCCCTTAACATGGCAATTGAAAATTCGATGATTACAGCTAACATCTCATAACCACAAAAAGTTCCTAGCTTATCTTGAAATATTCATTAACCACAATGTTCAATATTATAAACTTCAAGAATGTACTAAATGATGTTGTATACTGAAGAGATAAATAAACAATAAATGTTTTAAATATTTTTGCTGTCCTTATTATATAATCAACCCTCAACCACTGACGTACGTATGTGGTACGTCGCCTAAACAATTTTTCGATGTAAATTTTAAATTGCGCGGGATTTCGAACGCGTCCTTTTTGGTAGTTTCCTATTCGCCAGTAACGACCGCGTAACAGTGGAGTGCAGACGTATGGCACGTGTCAGTGTTAGTGTGACTTTTTTTAAATTATGTGTTTATGTTTGTCTTTAGATAAAATGAATCGTAAGCTATGTAATTCTCCTTCCGGCATATCTTCGTCTAGAAAAATACTACGTATTGGAGGTGATGCTACTAATAACGAAGAAATTATCGCATCTTGGCTTTGTGAATCAGATGAATCATCGGCGGATGAAAATGATTACATTCAGTCGGACCGCGATGATTATTCAGAAGAGGAGTATTGTGATGATGGAGAGGCCGCTGGTGAAGCTTCAGACCCTGACTCTTCTGAAGATGGTATGCCTTTGTCACATTTTTCCCGCCATATTGATTCTGAAAAAAGGCAAACTGGCGTCCAGTAAGCGATTCTCAAGTAAATACAGCGGTAATGTATCGCAATCTCGCAGAAAGTACTACTACGGAAAAAAACGCTGCATGAAGTGGTCTGCAGAAGGGCCATCGAGAACTACACGCACACCTGCGCACAACATCGTTACTCCAATAACTACAATTGATTTTTCACCGCGCACCGCCGATTAGTGCACCTTCACAATTATTTAGTTTGCTAATAACTGACAATATTAAAACACAAATTGTAGAATATACTAACCAAAAACTGGTATTGATAAGGCAAAAATATAAGCTACAAGGTAAACCTGAACTGAAGGACTTAGATTCTGTAGAGTTGGATGCTTTCATTGGGCTGTTGATTTTTAGTGCAGCATTCAAATCGAATGATGAAGACATAAATGCGTTGTTTGCTACTGATGGAACAGGGAGAGATATTTTTAGAGGAGTAATGTCCAAAGATCGTTTTGCAATGATTCTCGTAAGTCTTCGGTTTGATGATTCATCTACCAGAGATGGAAGAAAACAGTCTGATGTCGCTGCTCCTATCTCCAGCATATTTTATGAATTTGTCGCCAATTGCCAATAGTATTATAAAATTGGAGAGAATACCACTATCGACGAAATGTTAGTGTCTTTTGGAGGCAGGTGCAGATGGAAGAAGTACATGCCTAACAAACCCTGCAAGTATGGATTGGAAATAAAATGTCTAACTGATAGTACCACCGGTTACCTGTACAATGCTTACCTCTATACGGGCAAGAACAGTGACGGCAACGGACTAACCGATGAACAGAAAAAACTGCTGGTACCTACACAATGTGTTTTATGTTTAGCAAAACCCATCATGAGAACTAATCGAAATATCACTGCAGATAATTACTTCTCCTCGATTGAAGTATGCAGAGAATTAAAAAAAAATTGTTTGACATATGTGGGACACTAAAAAAAAACAAAAGGGAAATACCACCTGAATTTCTTTCCTAAACTCTACCAGTTCATTCAGTTTTATACGGTTTCACGACAGACATTATGTTGTTGTCCTATGTACCAAAAAAACACAAAACTGTTATAATGTTGTCGTCGATGCACCATACAGAGAGTATGGATTCGGTTAAAGAGATCCCAGAAATAATATCATTTTATAATTCTTGTAAAGGAGGTGTTGATTCCTTAGATGAAAAATGTGCCAAATACTGCTGTGCAAGAAGGTCTAGGCGATGGCCGTTGATCATATTCTACAGAATTTTAGATATTGTTGCTGTCAATTCTTTTATAATGTCAAATTATATAAACTTCGGATCGTCTGAGTTTCAGAAAAATCTTGGAAAAAACTTAGTAAAGCCGCACCTCGAGCGAAGATACACGACGCCGCAACTTTCACATGAGCTTTCGAGTCTTATTGGTCGTTTCTTGGGCAAAGATATGGCTACCGAAGTGGGTCAACCAAGTCATGAAATTATAAAATTTGAAACCATGAAGAATTGCTATTTTATTTTTATAACACAAACTAAAACGTCGCAAAACAAGATACGGTTGTCAAGCATGCGGTAAACCAGTATGTTTGCAGTGCTCTAAGCCGACCTGCAACAACTGTTGTTAAAAAGTGTCTAATTTTCATTATTTATGTGATTGCTATTTTTTTATAACTAAAATCATCCTTAGTAAGTAACAAAACCAATAATAAACATTCCTATTCTTAAAAATTATTTTTTAGTTGATTTAAAAAAAATTATGTTAATTTCATTACTTCTAAGGCCGTTGATTAATAAATATTTTGCTTTAATTATCTTAACTGTTTTTTTAATATCTCTAGGTTATATTAAATATATTTAACCAAAATGTAAATACACATCACAATATTTACACTCTATCGATGCACAAGAGGTCTTTAAAATCATAGACATATGTCATACATACGTCAGTGCTTTTGAGGGTTAAGATTCTGAATTGAATTAGAAATACAAAAGTTGTAATTTATATAATGAGTTCTTAAATTTACGCAAATTCTTCATATGGAATAAACTAATTTTACGTCGCGTTTATTTACTTTATTTAATAAAAAAGAACTTTAAATCAGTTTTATTAAAAAAAAAGTATTGGTTCCAAAATACTAAAATTCATAAATGTGGCAGGTGCGTGTGGGGTCTGTAGTTACTACCACTGAAGCTGCTGAGAAAGAGGTTATCAGTAGTGGTTTAAGAATTGGCTGGTCTACTGAAGACTCTACATTGCATCTTGGTAAGTTCATTCTTGTAACACAAATTAGATAAGGATTTATTTATAATAATATGTTCCAAATTAGATTCTTTTTGACTAGATTATTTCTTTTCTTTTTCATAGGCCTGACAGGTTCATTGTCAGACATGTTGCCTGTTCCATTGTAAGGAGCACATGCCTCGTCACATTGGCAGGCTTTTTGCTTGTGGTAGAGCTATATTATGGCTGTAACACAAATAGGTCCGATAGATATATAGGGAGACCACATACTCACAGAATACAGTGTTTCTTATGGTGAGTGTAGGGAACCAGAGACCATTTTTACTGGAAATGAGGCATTCCATCTTAGTTCTCTGGGGTGACAATGCATCTGTGTTTTGATTTTTTATCGAGGATGAATGTATGTGATGTCTAGAGCCACAGCATTGAATTACCATCAGGTGGACTGTTTGCTTATTTGTTATAAAAAAGGGTCATCGTAGATTTATGTGCATATGCTTAGACGGCTCCGTGGCGCAGTGGCTTTGCAATGAGTTGCAGCGCTAAGGGCCGCGGGTTCGAATCCCGCACGGAACGTATACGTATTTGTATATATACGTATTTGTATGGCCTATAAGTAATTATTCCGGGTCTGGATGTTTGTCCTTATGAAATTTATGTTTGTAAAATGCCCCCACGATACAGGAGAAAATCCTAGTGTGGAGGTAACGTTTTTTAAAAAAAATGCTTCCATAGCACATGAGAAGTTTTTTAGTTATGTATTTAGTATAAATTTTTGTTACAAACAAATGTAATACTTAGTAAAAATTTTCATTACATGCAGAAATTGAGAGGCCTTCACATAGCATTATCGTAATTATATTTGATTAGGCGAAGGTGAACTAAGCTGGGGCTACGAAAGCACTGGTCGATCAGTTAACAACAGTGAATTCAAGGAGTATGGCAAGCAGTTCTCCGAGAAGGATGTTGTTGGAGCCTATGTGGTAAGTATTGGATAAACTACACAAAAATCATAGAGCTTTAGGAAGTTTAATAATAAAATTAGAATTAATATAAAAGTGAGGTATATATAATATACCTATTAGGTATATTATATATACCTCACATTTATATTATATATACATCATAATTTAAAATTACTTTTTTTTAAATTGCAAATTTGTAATGTGTTTATGGTTTGTTCCCATTTCACATTATTTTATATTTATATATTTTTTACTTTATTTAATGAATAACAATATGCAGTAGTAGGGGTGTTAATGAAAAATTGCGCTGGTTTATTTTGCAGCGTTGAAGGCCAAATCCCATTGGAACAAGTATTTGTATGGACTACAAATAATTTTACCGGGTCTGGATGTTTGTCCTGCGGTGTAATATGTATGTTCACAGTATAAGAGAAAGTCAAGTTTTAGGATGTTTAAAAATAAAGATTATTTTGCACCTAAGTTGACATGCAGCTGACAGTCCTGTTTGAAACTGTTCTAATGCCACGCATCAGTAGTGTTGGTATTTCGGCTCATAAACATAATTATAACTTTTAACAAAAAGTATAAACTGACTTGAAATTGCTAAAAAAGAAGTTATTTGTTTGCAACCCGTAGGGGTTTTCCAAATTTATATGGGACCACCCTCGAAGTATAACCCCTATTTAAGAAAAAAAAATCATTAAAATCGGTTCACGATCTGCGAAGATATCCCGTAAACATACAAAAAAAGAACATACACTCGAATTGAGAACTTCTTCCTTTTTGAAGAGCGAAGTAGCGAGGAAAGGTGGCAAAGACGTAGTGTGGGCAACAATACGCGTCATGGCACACGCTTCTCGTTCATGCACATCGCTCCCTGTTTAGTCGGATTTTGGGTGCGTGTCAAGGGACTGCCAATATGAGCGCGAGTGGCCGGCTACATCATCGTAATCATATTGGTTCGGCCATACTATGCTACTCGCGATGTTGCCCTGTTTGTCCATACACTGCTCGATTCTGACTGCGTTCGCCCGATTATGTGACTGGCGCTCGTACTGCCAGTCCTTTGACTCACACTCAAAAAGCCGACAAAAAGGAGCGATAGGCATGAAAAGGAGCATGACGTGCGGCATGACCAGTATTGTTGCCACATTATTTCTCTACCTCCATTCCTCATTACTTCCGATGCCACTCAACGAGTGTGTGGCAAAAGGGGGGTTATGGATTGAGACAACCCTGTGTTACTAAGACCAAATAGGCTGTGAAAACTGACAAAACTACAACAAAAGTTGTCAGTTAGTGTTTTGTCATCTTCACTTACAACTTATAAGATACAACTAAAAAGATTTGAATTATGTTAAACAAAACTTAATATTATCATATAAAATATGTTATTTATTAGTAATTTAGTTTGTTTCGCTTTTAATTTGATTAAGTGGGTTGTTTTAATTTTGTCATAACATAAATCACATGCATTCATTAATTAGTAGGGCCACTAAACAGTTAATGAGATTGTATAATATGTAAAAAGGGGTAAACATCTAAGTATGTGTACTCAAATTTTATTTTTATTTTGGTGTCATATTGCTTCCTACATGTGGAAAATTCATAAGGATTATATTATTTAATAAATAAGTTTAAATAACTATAATTAGGATTTAAGAATTTTGTCTTGTTACAGGATCTTCAATCAAACCCGTGCAAGATTTCCTACACTCTGAATGGCATTGAGTTGGGGGTGGCCTATGAATTTGACAAGTCGGTTTTGGGAGGAAAAGCCATCTTCCCTCATATACTCACTAAGAACACCTGCTATAAGGTCAACATGGGATACGACAAGTAAATACCTATAATTTAATTTTAATGCTATAAAATAATTATTTTTCATGAAAATGTGGCGGCGCTGTCGTCGCGCCATAATTATAAACAGTATATATAGAACAGCTCCGAACTATCACACGGAGCGTTGGCTGCTCCCCGGGCAGAACACCTTGCCCGGCGGTAGATCTCCTCTTTTCCACAAAAATATTTAACAAATGATTGACTGAATAAAAACAGCATATAATTGCATATACCCAAAAAGGTAGACAGAAACTACAGACTTCCATTTTGACATGATCCTGACATGTTACAGTTCAGTGTTCAAGCGCCATAAAAATCCCATGCAGTCGCATGCGCCCGGCAAATCTCAAACGGTCGCATGCGACCGCACCCACCCACAGCACTTAAAACCATTAAAACTTATATTTAGAGACTACTTTTCTATAAAGAAGTTTAGCATTATAAAATCTATACAAAATTCTCTATCCAGTGATTTAAATAAAAGTCAAGTTTTACTTCATTACAAAAAGATTTTATTGTATTTTGATAACAAAAAAAAGCATACCAAGCGAATGTTGGCAGCGTGAAGATCACAATTATTTCAATATATATATATATATATATATATATATATATATATATATATATATTACTCGAAAATATTTACGTAAAAGATAAATTATATTCACACAAAAACTTTCATTGCAATTTTATAATAAAACACTTATAAAACACTACAAAATCCAAAAATCAACACAATGACATTCACGCGTAAATGGCGTGCGAAATGAACGTAGATTATAAATAAATATACATAGGATAACAGTTTTTTATTGCACTAGATAGAGTATTTCATATTGATTATATAATGCCAAAATTCTTCATAGGAAAGTAGTCTCTATATATAAGTTTGTATGGGTTAAATTGCTGTGGGTGGGCGCGACCTCATGAGACCGTTAGGGATTTGACGGAATTTGGCCGCGGTCTCATGAGACCGCTAGGGGGTTGAGAGGTTAAGTGTACTCTTAATTTGGCCCATCGATACACACAAATAAAATTGCAGTAAAGTGGCTGAACTAATTGTAATTAATTAAATAGCATTAACAGATAGAGATTAATGCAAAGCAATGATTTAGGCTATATTTTATCCAAAAAAATGGATATTTTTTTAACACAACGAAAAATTAATAAAAGAAAGGTTTTTGATTATCTTAAACCTAAATAACGCAACATTTATATAGATCATACTCAGGCGAAGCCGGATAGGTTGCTGGTCTGCAATATAACACCAAATAATAGTGTTCTTTGCCTAATCTGCCATACACTTTGTCAACTCACCTCACCACTACTTTGCTTTTCACAATAGAGCCCTATTTTCTCTGTGTCCTGCATTCACTCTTCGTTCTATATCCTTTTCATGTCTACCATTCATCTAAACACACACTGTAAATACACAACTTCATACACTTGCTGAACCAACTCTAATTCTACTTTTATTTCACATGATGTTTCACTTTATTTTCTATCAAAAACGTTACTTTTGTCTTGTATTCACTTTCATTCCCCTTCATTTTGAACACATGTTCAAAGTACACATCATATAAACATGTTAACTGTCAAAGTTGTCAATTTTAGAGAATATTGGGTCTGCCTTATTTAAAATTTCTGTATTTTATGTACCATACTAAATTCAAACAACAAATACTGAAAACATCGATTCATAATGCAGTTTGTAGGCGGTGACCAAAGTAAAAACAATTTTATAGATAAAAATTAATTAGTTATAATATGTTGTAGAGTACCCTAATAGAGCGAAGCCAGTTTCAAACTTGGCTAATTTAAATATGCTAAAAGTATACTCTAATCTTGATAAATATTAGTTATGACACAACCATTAATATTTTGTATTTTGCTCTCGTATGTTATTTAACATATGAGATTGCAATCAAAATAACGTATTTTCTGTAATGTGTATGAAATCGAGTGAGTTTTTGTATACTCAAGCCATTGTCATTTCTTTCATTGCAAATAATTGATAAGCAAATTAATTACCATACCCAGCTTCATTCGCATAAATTTTGATATCACATAACTTAAGGAACTAATGGAAGGAAGTAAAAATCAAAAGATCATAAATAATGTTTAATATTAATAGTCTAATAAGGTTTCTCTTTTTCGCGTTTTTTCGCCATAATAATCGTTTTCACACTAGTATTTGGTTTCGGTTATAGTTTAATTCTTTTTTCGTAGCGCGCTAAAAACGAAAATACAAACTGGGTTAGCATTTTAATTATTTCAGTGGGTTTAAATATATGCAGAAAAGCATTGTATCAGCAATCATTTGTATCAACAAACAAGTAGTTTATTGGTTTACTTTTTAAATAAGTTATGTCAACTTAAAAAGTCTTACTGAATTCAGAAAACTAATTTCTGTCGGAGTAGTATTGAATATTATAATAAGTTTTGGTTTGATTATTTAGACTTGTTAAATAACAATTGTTGTATTGGAAAATAATAACTTATTTCTTTTTAGGTTTAACATGCTGACGAGGACAAAAATCGTTCGCAAGCGTATTGAAATTCCTATTGAGCAGATAATAGAAGAAAAGAAAGCACGCGAAGCGGAGATAAAGCGTCAGAAGCAAGAGGCAATTCGTCGCAACCGTGAGCGAAGAGAAAAGGAACGTAAGGAGAGGGAAGAGCGGCAGAAGAAGAAGAGGGAGGTGAGACTGTTATTTTGATTGATACTTTTTATATTGTAAAGTCATAATAGGTAATTAAAAGTTGATAATACTTAATTTCAGTTTACTTTTTTAGCACTTCAGTTTTTTTCATAATACAATAGTAAATGAAATATGTAATTAACCTTAAACAATTTGTAGGAGAGAGAGAAAATGGCACGCGAAAGAAAAGAAAGAGAGGCTCAAGAGAGAAAGGAAAGAGGTGAGGAAGACCCTGAAGGAGAAGCCGATAAAGAGGCGGAGGACTCTGGGAAGCAAGCTGAACCCGCTGCTGAGAATGAAGCTCCGGCTGATGGACAACCTAAAGTAAGTTTAACATAATGAAATTAACATAATGACATTAAAAAAAATAAGTGGTATTCAATTCTATTTTTAATGTGTAATGATGAAATGTGTAGTTATCAAGAATTTATTTAAGCTTTAATTTTTTAATAATAAACATATAATGACTAATAATAATGGTTTGTCTAAAAAACATAAAAAAAAAAAAAAAACTAAATTTTTATTTTAATTAAAAAAAAAAAAAAAAAAAAAATATTAAAACCCCTTTCCCCCCCGTTCTTTTTTTTTCCCACAACCCCCCCCCGCCGCCATCCGCCGCCTTTTTTATACCAGGCCGGGCCCGGCTTTTTTTCTATTTTTTGGGTGGCGGTTTGGTTTTGTTTTCTTTCGCCCCCTCGCTCTCTTCTGACGAGCGCTCGTGTTCGTCGCTTTAGCGCGTAACAATAATTATATGTGGGTAGATCAACTTTTCTTCGTAAAAGATTGTCCTTGACACTTCGACCGAGATTTCAGTTAAGTAACAAATATTTTTTTACATATTGTTACTTATTTTGTAAAATTAGATGAACAAAGAACATTATTTTCATCTTAAGTATTTCATACTTTGATTGTAAATAGGAATTATTTTGTTTTGCTAAGGGACAAAATTATCCTCCCATACAAATTCCACTTGTCCCTTTAGCTACGTAGTGTTGAATTTCGTATCGTCATATAAAAAATCACTAGGAACGTCCTACTTCTAAAGTAAGGATAACACAGTACAATATTTTATTTACTTAAATACTAGCTTAAATTAATATTAGTAAGTACATTTTTTTTTTCTAAAATTCTTTAAAAGTCTGTCCCTGATTTGAGTAAATTATCGTGGTCCGCTGGGTTACCATAATTTGAAATGATTAAGAAAGAGCGAGATAGCGCTATTATGGACGCAGCTAATAGGAAACAAATCTGCGAATCATAAGATCTCGGTTACCGGTGTTCTGTCCTTGAATTGGCTCGGCGATTTCGACCGCGGCTCGAAGACAGTGCGCGTGTATTTATTGTGGTTCCACTGACTGACTGCGAAATTATGGTAAGTTTTAAATAATCCTTCAGTAATTTAGTACTTATACTAAAGATATTTAGTTTAATTTTTCCTTGACAGGGCAAATTTTTATTTTTTTCTGTTATTTCCCCAAAATATCAATGTTTCACTTATAAAAGTCTCCTGGCTTACCGTTCCATTGGGTCACTATACTGGTAACCCAAGAGAAATGTTTAGTGACCCAGGAGACTTCTATTTTTATTATTATAAAATTTCAATCAAATATTAATAATCTATCAAAGATAAGGAAACAATACAGTGGAAAGAATTGGGAAGACTTGAAGAACATTATGAAAAAGACGGTAATAAAGTTAAAGTTTTCAAAAATGTGCAGCAAGACAAGGAAGGGAAACACATAGAATATGAAAAGTCAACTTAAAAATTTTAGAGATACGATAGATAATATACAGGATACTGAAGTAGTCGTGGTTGCAGATCACAAAGAGATTCAAGCGCACCATTTTGAGGGGTCGAGAAAGCAGGTCTCATTGCATACTGTAGTTGTTTATATCCCAGACGAACAGCATAAACACAGAGTTAAATCTTACTGTACAGTGTCAGCATGTACAAATGATCAACCTGGCGCCATTTGGGCTCATCTTGATCCCTTTCTTAAAGATATAAAAACAAATAACCCTAAAACTGAAGCTATTCACTTTTTTCCGATGGTCCATTTAGCCAGTATAGGCTGAAGCAGAATTTTTATTTGAGCTCAACTAAAACTTTTGATTATGGGCTTAGGAGAATAACTTGGTCATTATTTGAAGCTGGCTACGGCAAGGGCCCGCCGTTGGTGTTGGAGGGTGAGGGTATTTAAAGCGAACGGCAGACGATATGGTAGCTCGTGGTCAAGACATTTCCCGTGCAGAATCATTTTACAAGAAACTGGATGGCAACAGTAAAATCAAACTACTTAATTACAGCTGAGGATATAGAAATCATAACAAAACAACTTCTTCCTAAGATTTCGCCTCTTATGGGGACATTAAAAGTTTATCAAATATTATAGGATGTGCGAGAGCAAATAAAATACAGAACCCTCAGCTGCTTTTGTACAAGGGGTTTCTGTGAATGTTTACAACCAAAAGTGTATCTGCCTATTTCCATTGCTTCTGTTGCGTCGTCAGATAATGCGACGGCTCTTCTTGCTGAAAAAGACATCTGTGAAACCGAGAAAGAAAGCGATGGAGTCACTAATGTAAACACTGAGCCACCAAGCAGTTCTGATGATGAAGTGCCTTTAAGCGATATCATAAAGCGTAAGACGGTATCAATACCCTTAAGTAAGATTCAGTTAATAGATTTATGCAAGCCTGGGCGCAAAAACTGTTATAATTTTGTTTACAATACACCTGAAGAACTGTAGGAAGACGAACAGCAAGACAAACAAGACGAGCAAGTTTCATCCACTTCATCAGGCAAAGAAAATCAACCCGTATGCTGTGGCGATTTTTTGATTGTAAAAGTTCATGCTACCAAAGGCAAGTTATATAAATATGCTTGTGTGGTGGACGATTTAGATGATGATGGGGAAATTAGGGTGACATTTATGAGATCTATTAAGCAAAAAAAGGTTTTTATTTTAAATAAAAGTAACAGAGCTGATGTTGATTATACAGATGTTGTTCAAATTCTTCCTAAGCCGATGACTATTGATGAAAAACGAGGGCAGTTTTATTACGAATTTGAAAAGTGTATTGAAGTTCACGAAAAGAAATTAATGTTCCTATAAAAGACCAAAGGGGGATCTAAGAAGACAAATTTTTAAACGCTTTAATACTTTTAATAAAATAGATAAAAATGTTTGGTTTGCAGATTTTTAAAATAGTTTTTTAGTTACTGTTTTATGTTCAGATCTTTAATTTAGTTACTTAGTCAACACGTAAGACTGATTTTTGTTAAGCAAATTCTTATTTTTATTTGGCTACATAGTGTAAATTGACATTATTTGTAGGAATTGTTTAAGGTGGATGCGTCGACCGTCCGCCCGTACATTTTTTAACCAAAATATACACTAAACACAGACACTCTTTCTTTAAAACTAATCATTTTATCACTTCTCTACAATTAAATGTGTACGCCTCTGACCTTTATAGGCAGTAACTTACATTATATACCGAGAAAAACAATAGTGAAATCCCGGAAAAATTTGACACTTCTTTAGTAGTGTGCGTGACTTTTGACAAGCAAACGAAAGGCGACGCTTAAACATTGGCACGCTAGATGGCATCCAAGTGATCTTAAATAATTGTGATAAATCAATATCTTAAGTTCAATAATTGGTTAATTTCCTTTCCAACCGTTAAAAAAACAGTATAAAATAACATTAAAACTGACCTTAGACACCTACGTTTTTTTGTAAACAATTTTATTACTTATTATCGTTGTGTGGCATACCAAAAGTCGTAGGTAAAGCGACGTTGCCGTCCTTCCTGACAACAAACTGCCGTAGACAGAGAAGTCTACGGTACTAAAGAACAAAGCAAGACGGAACAAAAGCGTTGCCAAACTTACGTACGTTCACTTGTTTGACTTGTATAAAATATAATATTCTGATTTCGGTTGTCACGCGCTATGATTTGCGCGCGGAATTTCTTGTGTATTATACATATTTTGTATGTATGTTTTCATTGATTCGAATTGAAATATTTTTTTAGTATATATTTGAGACTATATTGTAATTTATCGTAGGTATAGTAATTAATTATTTTAAAAACGCAATTATGTTTTCGATATTATTAACAGCAGGCTGGCCCGTGATTTTTCTGAAATATCATCACAATACTGATTACCTACGTCATACGTGTCAGTGTTTCATATATGAATGTGTTTGAATATTTTTTGGTCAACAATAAATACAATTATTATAAATCGGTAAACTACCAAATTAGTCACAAAATTAAACTTGCAAACATTTGCTAAATATGGTTTTGCCGGGTTACATTAAACACTCTTTACGCATTTTGCAAACAGTTTCAGACAGACACACATTATTAGTTTGTTATAGGTATTTGTAGAGCTCAAGTTCACTCGTCACTACGTCACACCTTATGATGCGTTCAGAAACAAATATAATTCAGTTACATAAAATCCTTTTTTCTGTTTCGTGCTTTATTGTTTATAAATAAATAGCTTATTCTAATCTGAGTTATATTTTTCTTATTCTTCGACCAATTTTACCAGGAATATAAAGATAACATTGAAATAAAAAGATAAGTAAATTTTTGTACATTAACCAGTTCAGTTTTTTTCTATTATGTCAGTAAGATCAAAAAATATTCTTCATATTTTATCAGTATGTATTTTTAATCTAAATATAACTTCCAAAACAGACGATTTCCAAAAAAGAAGGTAAATTATAAACAATAAATAGCTTATTCTAATCTGAGTTATATTTTTCTTATTCGTCGGCCAATTTTACCAGGAATATAAAGATAACATTGAAACAAAAAGATAAGTAAATTTTTGTACATTTTAGTGTTTTAGATCTTGTGTTCCGAACGCAACCCTATTCATATAGAATTGAAGGAAGATTTGTATATATTATATTGTAGAGTATCTGGATGACCGAGCATTTCTCGGTATTTTTTTTTTTTTTGGAAAACGTGTGTTTTGGAAGTTATATTTAGATTAAAAATACATACTGATAAAATATGAAGAATATTTTTTGATCTTACTGACACAATAGAAAAGAACTGGTTATTAAAATAAAAAATCATGAGTGCAATAAAATTTTCGCATTTTTAAAAAAATACTACAAAAAGGGCTCGAAATAATAGATTTTCTCACAAAAGAAGGGAACTTGAAAAAAAAGGGAAAAAAGTCAATCCTAAGACAAGACGCGATGGAACTACGATTTCACGACAGTGCGTTATCCACTTGAGCTATTACGACCATTATTATAGTGTTAAAATTTACCTTCTTATATTGTAGCAGTTTTTCATTGCCTGAAAACGGGGATAAAACGACATTTTATGAAAATCGTTGGAGCCGTTTCCGAGATTCCGATTATATATATACAAGAATTGCTCGTAGGTATAGGATTTATATTTTTGTTTTACTACAAGCTTTTGTTGAGTGCTTCGAAATTAGGAAATATTATTTTCAAACTTCCTGGTTATTATCACAAAATGAATTGTGTTATAGATTTGTTGTTATCTCTTGTTTGTGAATTGTAGTTTCTTAAGTGTTGGTTATGAAATGTCTAATTATTGTAATAATTGGTACTGTTACAAATCATCAGTGTTATTAGTTTTGAGTGAATAGGCATGTATCAGTATAATTATGTTGCTTCAAATAGGTACTTCTGTTTTGATAAAAAATTCAATAGTGTAATGTAATAAAATAAAACTGCGTTATATTGTAATCAATGTTGACATAATTTATTTCCCAAAGTTATAAATCAATTAAATAGTTTACGCCAACAAATATAAATTTTATTTTTATAACAATCGTACATAGCGTTTTGTAGTTCTGCCTACCCAATCTACACATACAGAAAAATTAAAACTTGTTTTTTTACATACACGCCATCTAGTGTTCTAGCTACGTAAAAATGAAAAAAATGAAAATGATAATGATATGACCCATTCCAATAAAATGTAATATCCGATAACCGCTAAGTCTACTCCTACGACTTAATAATTTTCCAATTACACAAAATTCCAAATAAACTAAAAATGTTGACTTCAGCGCCATCTTGCGGGAGAATGGATGGGAACAGGCCGTAGGTTTCACCTTAAATGTGTCTCTTGAGTCACTGAAATTGTCTTATGGGTCACAGTACTGTCCCCAAATTCCGCGATAGTAATTTTCTTTTTATGTTTCTTAAATAACAATTGAAGTTATTTTTTTAGTTCTGTGTATTCATTAAAAGAAGGAATAAGAAGTTTTTATTTATTTTAATATACTTTGCCGTAATCAAATAAAACAGAAAAAGTAAAATATTTTCTGTAGCAGTGGTAACCCAAGAGACATATAAATTAATATTTCTAGTCTTACTATTTCTATAATACTTAACTTGATAACACTAAAATGTTGTTTTAATTGGTTTTAAACAATAAAGCATTTCAGTTTTGATAAAAACTTTTTAATTACTGAAAATTACCTTGGAACGTTGGTTACCCAAAGGACATTTTTATAGCTCTTATTTGGTTTAAGTATTTGAAAATACATAAAAATCATTAAAAAGTTCGCTGCACGGCTATTAATGTGAAAGCTTATTATACTAAGTAGTCCTAGTAAGTAGTCCTAAGACATTTTAAGCAGGAAACTAATCATTTAAAAAAATTCTACAATTTGTTGATTGCATACAAAGAAAAGTTGATTCACCCATGTACTGACCTTTTCTGTTATCGCGCTATATTGCGTCCATGTCTTAGCAAGTTTAGGCTTTTGAATAATAATTTTTATCACAATATTATTTAGGAAAATCTGAGATTGTTAAAGTGTTTACATTGTTTATGTTTAAACATATCATGGACTTAGATCAGTTGTAACACAATTTTTTTATAAACTTTAGATTCCACTATTCATAAAACAGTAAAATATAATATTGTTCAAACCAGTTTAGTATGTATAATAATTGACGTTACATTTTTAGGAGAATGGTGAGTCTGAAGAAGTTAAACCTGAGCCGATGGAAACAGAACAACAGCCAACTGAGCAGCAAGAGTCGAAGGAAGGAGATAAGGAAACGCCGCCCGTGAAAGAGGAACCTGCTACTGGTACGATTTTTAAATAGGTTTTGGTAGTTATGGGAGTTTCTAAATTCTGCCAACAATGCCTATCAACGGTGCAGATATAATAGTGATGCAAGATTAAGTCCTAACACAGGCACTCATCTTTACCTATCTACTCATTTCAATCTAATATGTACTTTAAACCCTTGTGCAATAAGATTATACATTAAGATTGGTAAGGCTAATATACAATAACAGGGGCATTGGACCAGCCACACCTAGTCTAGACGTAAAAAGAATCAATTTGTGTTTTTACACAAATGTTGGTAAGCCAGTATATTTTGACCATTAGACTAAAACTAGTTAGTCATCAGGAACATATTAATATAATTATCAGATGAATAAAATGTAATTTTTTAATTCATTTATCATTTATTAATGCCTATTCAAAGTCTACTACTGGACATATAGGCTCCATCCATAGATTGTCTTACAGGGGAGATATTTGCCATTATTTCCACACTTGGCTGGCTGATTGGAAAATACTGCTGTGGTTTCAGCTTCACTTTGTCCACGGATTTTTACGAGGAAGTGGATTCTGTTAGGGTTTTTCAATTAAAATACTGTTAGTATTTATTTTTATGTACAGATGACGTTCAAGAGGTAACTGAAGATAACGCGCTGAAGAGCCTTTTAGACAAGAGAGTGAAGCACGTCATTAGGTAAGCAAATGGTTTATTGTTTATAGTGTTACTGTGCCAAAATGTATTTATTAGATTAATATTTAAAGCATTGACTTGACCTAACTAAATAATTCTATTTTATCATACTGGTAATAGAATCAGGCTTAACTTTGCGAAAACCTATAATATTAAATATGTTAAATATTAATTAAGATTCGCATAATAAAATAAAATGATGTGATGTGCTATATGTTATATGAATTTTATTTAAGTTTGTGATTATTAAAAATTAATAAAAATTGTACGAGTGTGTTAATTGTTGAATTGTACTTGGTAAAAAGTTAGAAGAACAATATTCATCCTAGGATGACTGTTTTATACTGCTTCCACTATTTTATTGATATTCTTTGTTAGTGTCTGCGAATATAACTCCAAACAAAAAATAGCCGATAGATAACCCGTCATGTTCATTGACAATGTCACATCAGCCAGAAAACAATTTTAGGGATGTGGTAAGGCGATGAATGAAACTTGGTGATCTATTGTGCAATTCTTAATTATTACATACATACACACGCTCACGACTGTAATACTTTCGGACTACACGAAAAACCTTGCAATATTGTTTATTATTATTTAAAAAAAATTAGAAAAGGTCGTAAGAATACAGTGTAATATTTAATACAAGTGAATATTTAACGTATTAAAAATGGAGAAACATTCAGCAAACAAAAGTAGTGCTTAACATGGGTGTGTGTGAGTGTTTAATAGATAACATGGCGGCGGTGTCATCACACCAGTGTGGCCTGGACATGTATTTGCTACCATAAACAAGAATGACTGTTTTTATTGTAATAAAACTAACGAAATGTTAATCAAAAAGTGCGTAATAAATATCATATTAATTATGAAATACTTTACAATGTACTTTTGTTAATTATTTAGTTACAATAACCAAAAAAAAAAAATTGGGTAATATTTTATTTTTTAATCGATATATCAATATTTTCTTGCAAGTACTAGTTGTCTAGAATACAGTAACATAGTGGAAAGAGTATAGATGACTATACAGACTTAGACATGAGTGATTGATTCACTTTGGTCTAAATTTTTAGAATCACTAGTGGTGCCATTTTAACGCATGGTGGCAATGTTTGGGTAGTAATATGTAATTGAATGACGGCACTTTAGAATGAGGTGTAATATTTGACAGATTTTATAGAGGGGAAAGTTAATTTGATAGAAAACTGTATATGTTTGTTTTTGAAATATTGATTACTTATAATTCATGTTAATTAGATTTAAAATAGATAAATGTGTAAGAAAAATTAAAGAATAAATATAGAAATGCATTAGAAACCAAAGAATGTGTTAAAACCGCAAGTTTTAATGACGATAACACTGCGTGAGCCATGTGCGTAAGAAATGAGTTAACCCAGTCCCAAATAGGTTGGTATGGTGAGCGCAAGATTATAATTGGTGTGGTGTTGCAGGTACGTGGTGGAGGAGGAGTTGGACGGCGCGGAGGCGTGCCTGCTGCCCGGCTACGTGCTGATCGCGCACGCCGCGCTACGCGCCGGCCCGCGGCCGCCCGCCACCGTGCCCGAGTGCGAGGTACCGCCCACCTACTCCTGCATCGCACACCACCTCACCACCACACCGTCACACCATCACACCATCGCACACAAACCACAAACTCCTTTACAGTACCCGGCGATAAATATTGCACATCGACCTTTGGAAAAAGACAATCGGCTAATTTCGGCTTCGTAGAGCGTTATACAGTAATGACTCCCAACTGATCTGACCTGACCGATCCAACCCACGAAAACAAACTTATTTCAGATTTAAGAGATAAATATATTTTTCTAATGGAAAAAGTAAATTCTGATTTAATTTATATATTATATAATAATTTTGATATAATTTCAATCACAACTAATTAAAATTACAACTCCCATCAAAATGAATAAACATAACACAAATAGAGAAAATGTATTAATATCGTTTGACCCAGATGACTTGACTAACTTGACTTTGACTCAAATGGTATGGATATCTAGTTATCTAGTCATTACACTATGCTGCGAGTCATTGCTTTCTAGTCTACTTGTTAATCTAATCACATACATGTTACATGGGATTGAGTAGACAGAGATGAATAACTTTATTATTTGTGTATGTTTATATTAGTTCCCGCTACATTAAAGATAAAAGAAAGGAAATTTACAACTGCTGAAATAGGCCATGGCAAATCCTTTACAAAACAAAGTGAAAAAAGAACTATAAAAAGTGAAAAATTTAACTTTATAACATTATTAGTGTAGTTGTATGCAATAACACAAACACTCTCTTTACCTTACACATATACCTTAAATTATCATTAAACAATACATACTGAATAATATAAAATAGAAATATGAACAAGGTATTTTTTACTAGACCAACATATCTTCAGCTATTTCGAATTTTTGTTCATTGCTGAACAGGTGGTTTATTAAACACAAAGTTGATAATACACTTATATTAGTTAATACTGTTTCCTTGAACTATTCTGCAGTATTTGGATTGATCATGTTTGTATGATATATTGTCATTTGTTGGTCGTCAAAGCTCTGTTTGGTAGTTAATAGTGCACACACAAAAACTGAATGCGAAAACTGAACGCGTTGGACTGAATGTATATGTAAAATAAGTTTAATATTATTAAAAACCAGGAAACCTACTGACTAATTTTATGTGGTAGAGCCATGCTGTAGCTATATTAATTATATAGTTGTAACAGGAATGGGTCGGCTCGACCGAGGAAGGATCACGCTCTCACAGAATACCAGCGTCAAATAGTAGCTTAATGCTGCTGTGTTTCGTATGGTGAGTGTAGAGAACCGGAGACCCTTTTTACAGGAAACGAGGCATTCCATCTTAGTCCCCAAGGCTGACAACGCATCTTCATTTTGATTCGCAATCGAGAATAGATGCAGATGTCTATGGGCCACAGCAACCACTTACCATCAGGTGGACTGTGTGCTCGCTTGTCACCCTTTACCTATAAAAAAATTTAGTTATAACAGAATGACACATCAGAATTTGTTTCGGTCAATCACTATATGTGTTTGAGAACGTCAAATATTACCATAAGAAGTGAGCCTGACACTGAAGAGATGAAGACAAATCTATATGCAACCTCATATTCCGAAATTCCGACGTTCGTTCGTTTAGTCTACATGATGTCATAGAACCAATGAACCTTATATTATATACATCTGGAAAACCACCCTTCTGGGACAGTGGGGTAAAGTTATCTTAATGTGTAGCTGAAATTTTCAACAATAAAACTGACCTTGTATTATAAACAAGTATATATATGTTGGATATATTTTTAATTATAACAATTTCTTCTGAATCTTTTAAGTTCTAGAGACTTTTTAGCCTGTCTTAAATATTTATATAGTTTGTATGACCACTAATAACATAATAATGAAATCATTACGAATTTGAAAATTTAAGACAAATGTTTTACTAATGGAATATGATGGCATAAAAACCGATGACGCCATATTGTCAAGTTGAGTAGGATTATCTATTTGAGACAACATTAAGGGAAATATTTAATTCTTTATCACCACGTGATTGGTATTTTTCTTTAAGTATATACATAAATGTGTGACAAAACTAAGCTATGGGTGAAACATATAATAAAGCTGCCGTGTATGAAAGGTAAGTAACTTTAACGAAAATCCAATTTTCGTTTCGTTCGTAAACTCAAATTTTGATGTTAAGGCATTTCAGATTTACATAATTATTTGGATTTGAACTTGCATTTAAGAAGAAATGATCGTAAAACATCCCACTGCTGGGCGAGGGGGCTTCCTCTGGACGCGATATTTTCCTTCAACTATTAGAGTGTAAATTATTATTCAAAACTACACTTAATGTAACATAACTCAAGATACTCTTCATTCTTTGATTCTTCTTCATAAGCCTTAAAAGTCCAGTGTACAAGAGACTTACCCATAGAGGTAGAATTTACTTTTGCCACGTGTGATTGTTTCCCATTGCCGTATTTCACGTCTGATGTCAACTTTATTGTTACTAACATATCGGAATAATTAGATTTTTGTGGCTTTTTCCATAGCCGCCTCTTCCGGTGCCAACGGTGCAAAATGTGGTGATGTATTCTCTTACACCATTCGCTGCAAATATTTCTCAATTACTATAAAATTTAAAGCGAGAGTACATGCTCATCAGCTCATTCAACTCGGTATTTATAATTTTATTTATCAAGGATATATACATAAAGTTACAGCCAGTAAACATACGTCTTACTGCTCTTCACTGTACTCCCTCTCTTTTTTGAGAAGGTCTTATAGCTAACGAAGTGTCAGCCACGCTGTTCTAATGTGTGTTGGCGGACTACACGTCTTTGAAAATGTTTTTTTTTAAATAACTTATTAGAAATGCAAGTATTATACTCACACTATTTTTTCTTCACCTCGGAGCACATGTTTAATCAGAACTTAATATTGCTATTAACTTACTGTACAATTTACTGCTGCCATGAGTGTTGTGTGCTTATCTATACATATAATAAATCTGTAGAAAAATTACGTTTCACGCAGAAACTATTGGATGGATTTTCATAAAATTTGATACTTGGGCAGTAAGCGATCGTGTATAACATATAGGCAGCTATTTAACCGCTTACGGAAGAATAAAAGAGGGTTATGTTTTTCAATTTTTTTTAAGTTTATTGTCATAATAATGGCTCTTGATGTTTCTATAGCATCACGTATATAAAGTCTATAGAAAAGTGTGTGAAAATTAAACTCATTGTTAGTTGGAAGGGCAGAACAATGTCTGCCGGACCAGCTAGTCATCAATAAGCAGCCGCTCCTGTAAACTTGATTCAACTTCAAACAAAAAAAAAACAGCACGTGCGTTTGTTAACTCGGAGGATTAAGACGGAATTAAAGCACGCGGCTCACCTAATGCTAAGTGACTACCGCTGCCCATGAACAACTGTGATACCAGGGTAAATGTATTTACTCCAATCGTTTTGTACGTGTTGTAGGCGGCAGCAAAAAGTTTGATACTAAGAACGACTTCTGGGTAAAAAAGTGCCTTTTCCATTTTATAAGCTATCAATGAGTGAGAGGGAAAAATATATACTTGCTCCAATTACAAAGTATAAAAAGAAACAATTCAAATACACTACATCGAGCTCGACGACGAGCTCAAAACAGCTGTTTTTGGTGATAGTTATATTTGGATATAGAGCTGATACTATCCCCCCCCTGTTCTCGTATTGTTTTTAGTAATTTTTCCCTGGGTCTCTTGGCATATCATTCAGCCCATAGAGTCATTTATATTGGTTTTGTTTGTCATCTCAAATAAAGCTAATATTGTATATATAATATAGTTATTGGTTTTCTGGCCTAAAAGACGAAAAACAACAAAAGTTTAAGTTTGCCTCTGATTATAACGTATAGATGTCTCTGATAATAATACTATATAGTTAGGCAACTCTTGCCTTCCTGAACGGGTAGTTCGTTTTTATATACATTAAAAACCAAATTAACGTGTACTAATAATGGAACAGCCGTGAAAAGCATTGCATATAAAAAATCCTATCAGCAATCATTAGCATTGATTAGATTTACTCCATTATAAGTGCGAGATATTATCTATTCAGTAGCTTACATTTTGAAAATGTTAGTGAACACATTTGGATTTTGTGCATTTATTGAAATTGAAATTTAATAACCAATTATTGTTCAATGCATAACTGACTATAGTTCAGTTCATATACCATCTATACAGTTCATATACAAAACCTAGCCCTGATGCAGATATTCCTGGTTATGAAGGTTTGTTAAACCTGTTGAAAATATCCTACAGCAAGCGACTAGTCCCCTCTTGTTTTTGAAATTAAAACTCGCCATTCTGTAAAACTGCTGGATGTTCGACTATTATCTCAACAAATGTGAAATGGAATTATATAAGTTTGTTATAAATAAAACAACAATTTTGTCATAAAATTCACATAAACTTCAAATATAAAATGCAATGAAATCATTATCATATTTTGTTAAATTATCAAGCGGACTAAACTGTGGGCAAAGTTGGGTATAACTATTTAGATGTGAGATTGAACCATTGGCCAAATATGGAATGAGAGCAAGTCAAAATCTGTCAAAATGTAAATTATTACAATATAAAAAATCTGTCAAATCGAAAATTATTAAATCAAATGCTTTTATTGCACACACCACTGTAATATTTATAAACAGTTTTTGCATATATTATATGAAGACTTACTGTAAACTAACAGAGGACAAATCAAAGTGGTTATATTAAATTGGACTTAAAATTGTATAGTATAGTTATTGATTACCTTTTTCAGTAAACCAATTATGTGTTTGAAAGACAGAATATGCTCTATTCAACGGAAACAAATGTAATGACTCCGGTTATACAAGTATGGTTAACTACAAATTGGGATTGAGGAGAATCCATTGGATCAAGTGTATTGCAGCTCATTCAAATTTGATGACATCTACATGATTTCACTTTGATATATAAATTTTATCTTGGTGAACTTGTGCTTTTGTTTCATACTTAGTTTTCCTGGCATTTGCAGCTCCGCCGGCTCGCTGACATACAAAATATGGCATTTACGTGCTACCACCGTCTTCGAGGTAGGGGTTAATAAATATGCCGATATAATGTCGGATATTAAGTAGAAATAATATTTGTTATTGAGCAAATAACATTTCTTATTAGGGAAATTACAATTGTTATTGTAGAAATAACATTTGTTATTGAAGAACACTTTTTATGGGGGATGTCATTTGTTATTATAAAATAACAGGAGCACAGGAAATAGCATGATGAATTCTAATTTTGCCAGTATATTATCGTGTCTTCAAAATAAAGCTTGTAGCTCGTCCTCCACTGTATTAGACACATACATTTAAAAATATTCCTAGGCTTGCAGTTATTTCCTCATGATCAGAAATTAAAGTACATCAAATACCTTTTTTTTAATGAATAAGTTTGTGGAATTGATATTCCAATTAATGGACTGATATTGTGCGTATAGTAATAAATATTGTGTATTTTATATATAAGCGGTATGCGGCAATACCTGTGGTGGAAGAAATCAGCATGGCACTTAAATTAGGATGTTTGATGGCTGTGGATGAAAATAACTTACTTAAATAAAAGACTGGACTCAAGATGATGTATTTATTACCAATACAAGGAAAAATATGGGATTGTGTCATGTTATCATTATGAATATATATTAAATAAACTGATTTATTTTAAATTTAAAGCCAGGTGAAACTTCTGGAAGTCTGGAAGCTTCAAATATTGGTAATGTAGGTATTCTAATGTGTGATGCTTGAATTTATCGTGATAAAGTTATTTTAACAAATTTAACATGATTGATAGATATCAGAACAGCATATTTTATATAAACTTACGGATAGCCTATCACATGATGTCTGATGTCTCTCTAACCTTCAAGGATTTGGATTCGAACTCCAGTATAAACCATTATTTCTCTAATCAATGCTTTGATTGATGTGAGATGTGAGCAATGATAATTATAAAGGCGAGGCTGACTTTCAAATATTTCATAAAATAAATCTGTGCTTGGATACTTGAAACCATGTGTAGATTACAATTTTTGTAATACTAGTTATTGTTTTGATGAATTTAAGTAAATTTGAGCATATAATTCTAATGCATGTCGTTATGAAATAGGTTATCCTCATGGTCGGCATGCCCGGTTCCGGTAAAACATACTGGGCAAAGCAACACACCGCTTCTCACCCTGAGAAACGCTACAACATCCTTTCAACTGGCGCTCTCTTCGACAAAATGAAGGTATGTTACAAGATTACAAAATAAGTGAACACTTCACAGTGCAAAATAATAGCTTCAACAGATTATAAATTTAGGGAATGAAGGCTTATGGCTGAAATTGTTTAATGTACTCGACTATCTAGAATCCAAAAAAGTAAATATTTTATGTTCTATATTTTACAGTCAGACAATTGAACAAAAATTTCTTACTTGACACAATATTCTCATTCTATATGATGTCTGATTATATTGTCAAGCAGTTATTTGAATTTCACAATGCTAAGTTTCTTGAATAACAGTGATCCATTCTCTTAAATATTTACAATATACCATTGTCATGTAGGTATTTGAACTGTTAAATTGCCTTCTATTTTGACATCTTATATTTATTTCTACAACATATAAATGCCTATAAGTATTTATGGGAGTTATTTATATTGATGTCAGAGATTTGTCCAGATGAATGATATTTTAACAGTTACCTTACTGATTACAAATACGTTAATATAATTCATAGATAGGTTTAAAGATTTTAATATCTCAAAAATAGGTCTATTAGAGATTGCTTTAATATTTTTCATACTGTTTAATAGGTATGGCAGGTAATATTTAGATGTGAAATCTCATGATAGTAGTTATATATATTTAAGTACATGACCGACAATCACAGAGAGTTATGGCATATCTTGGCATTCAAAGCGCCTATTTATTATGTGATCTGGTGAAACAATAGTATTGTAAAATACTTCTAATGTTAATTTATCTCTATCAATAATTTAAGATGTATCTTGAAATTTATAAAATAATGGTCCAACCCAATTTATCGGATTTCGCACATGATCATGACACTCCACAAAATAAACTTACTCAAGTTCCTTTTCAGCACAACGAGGTTTGACTACTGATACTAAATTGCACTACTGCTGTATGAACTTACACAAAAACTAATGCCAGTCTGTATTTTCAACAGGGTGCAAATAACAGCAACATTTATTTCAAAATAAACGCGTTATTAAAAAATATACTATGACCTGTAGCGGTCGAAATCAACCCTAGCAGTGTTATATGATACCAGTGGATCGGCGCCCGAAGAGGACAATAACAAGTCTGTCAACACGGAGTATCCCTGGTATCGAAATATAACGTTTTTCTCATAGTGTTAAGCTAGTTTTAAGCGGTAACGCGACGTGTTTGCTTGCGTGACTATGTGACTGTTACATCGATCCCAGGTGGACTGTAAACCATTCCGGACGAGCTACGAGGGCCGTTGGGACGCGATGGTGACAAAGTGCGCGAAATGCGTGCTTAAATTGTTGGAAATCGCCAAAGGACGCAGGCGGAATTATATCCTCGATCAGGTGAGACTCCACCAAAACTAACCTATAATTCGTTTATTGTTCTGGCAGGCACTTAATCAGGAACAATTGAGATCGTTTACGGAAGTTTGGCGAAGTCCTTTTGCTCTCATCACATCATACTTTCTTATATTTGTATCATTTTATTTAGTAGCCTCATCGTAAAGGTATGTTGTGTAGTTAAGTTAAATATAGTTAGATAATACTGGCTTTGATAAATGTATATTAATGTGTAATTTTCAAACACAGCCAGGGTGAGTAGTTAGGTTAAGTAAGTGATATTTAAACTTTGCCAAACAAAAACCAAATGAGAAATGCTAAAGCGTCTGGGATCTCTATTGAGCTTGTTCTAGGTGTCTTACCTGCCATACGCACCCGGACGTTGCCTATAATATGATTCGTTTTGCTCCACATTAACGACGACGACGCGCCGACGATATATATGTGACGGTTTCGCTGTGTAAAACAGACGAACGTATACCCGTCGGCTCAGAGGCGCAAGTTGAGAGAGTTCGACGGTTACCGACGGATCGCCGTAGTCATTGTTACTGACGAAGAAACTTATCGCGAGCGACAGAAACGGAGGGAAGAGGCTGACGGGAAAGAAGTGCCGGACGGGGCTATCGTGGATATGAAAGGTTGGTAGCCAGCCGGTACGACGGACACGACTAAATATAGTCGCAATCCATTATGTCTCTATATTTAACAACGGAACGACTATACAGTCTTAGATTTGTTCTCCCTCATTTATAACCGATCGTAGTTGCGTTGTCGATCGACGATCGGGGCTAGTAATCCTTTTCATAGCGCTTCACGTACTGTTCTCTGTACGAGCAAAGTACTATAAAATAGATTTGAAGTTCCGATGCGGCGACGCCGGGCGCAACTGCACACAACCATTACAAAATACTAACGAGAGAAATGTGTTTTTAGCGAACTTCAGTCTGCCGGAGAAGGGGCAGTGGCTTGAGGATGTGATGTACCCGGAACTGAGCGAGGAGGAAGCCCGGAAAGTGGTGGAGCAGTTCCACAAGGAGGCGAAGGCGGCCGGCGTGGTGCGCGAGCGCGAGCGCGAGAAGCGCGACCGCTCGGTCAGCCGCGACGCGCCACCCAGCAAGCGCCAGCGCTCCAACGACAAGCGCCACGGCCGCGACGACCGTCGCCAGCGGGACTTCCCACGGGATCGCGGTGCGCTACATACCCATTTCCCCCTAATTAACTCTATGGACTAACACTAAACACCCAATTCATTCCTTGCCCAACTTCAGTCAACATTGAACAAGGCCATAATTGTAGGTAATAGTTGTCGCTTTTTTGGGATTGAGACTGAGTACAAAAGCCTCAAAGTCTGTGATTATTGTTGCTCTACTAATAAGTGTACTACTGCTTAGCGGTATGAATGGGTGGAATAAGAGGACATTTTGTATTTTCATCTAGATCCTCCTTGAATTAAAAAGTAGCTCTCTCACCTCACTTGGTTACTTGTCTCTACTTCTGTTACAATTGACATCAGAGAGAGAGAGAGAGAGAGAGAGAATAAGAGAGTACACTTGACATTATTTTCTATAGTTATTGGTAATAACTTAATATAAATGTTTTTATCATTACTATTACTGTAGATTTCCTCATAGGGGGAATAAATGCTTTGCTATGACCAAAATCTACAAGTAGAATATGATTTTACTGGCATGCAAGAGAGAATTTCTTCTATATTTAGTTTTTCACCTTTTTCATTTTTATAATATTTAGGGACAAATTATTATCATTCCTTACTTGAGTAAGAAGGAATTACTTTGGCAAGCTTGTATAAATTAACAGCTCAATTGACTTACGCAGTCTATCTCTCCAGATGATGTCTTGAAAGTCATCTACTTTTGAACATAGCTTTGCTCTCATAAGCCTTTCATTTTACCATTTAGGAGTGTTTCTTTTCAAATATAGAATTTTTTGAAATGATAACAGATTTAAATAAGTTCAACAATCATTTATCGTTTTTAACCATGTGCTTTTTGTATCATTTATATGGGCTTTTTATATGTAAAAAAATCGTATCTAACAATCATATATTATTATTATGATTATTAGATACGATTTCATGCGACAAAACGTCAAATTCTTAATTTTTAGGCGCTAGTAAAGTATACCTACGCGCTTTGCTCTTAGGCATGTATACATTAACATCTTTCATAGGCAATGTTTGGAATAACAATTGCTAGTCCCAATAGTTTCGATTAAGGCAAAGTAAAAGTATTTCAACATAAGACAACAGTTTCCCATCATCAGTATCATAATAGTAGTACTATAGTAATAGTATACCTATAGTATGGAGAAAGTTGCTGTGTTTGCTTCCATCATTTTACATGTCTTTTTCACTGGTTTCTACTATCAATTTAGCTTTTAATCTTTTATCAAAACAAAACAGTTATACTGTCAGATTAGGTGTGTCAGTTATGGTGCAGACTAGCATGTGGCAGATGCGTGTCAGAATGGTGTGGATACGGAGATATAATTTGGAATGTGTTATGGTGGCTGGGAACAGAGGACAGATGGGGCGGCGGTGGCGGGGGCGGCGGCGGCGGCGGCGGCGGGCGCGGTGGTGGGCGCTGGGGCCCGGCCGCGCGTGGCGGCGGCGGCGGCGGCGGTGGTGGTGGCGGCCGCTGGGGGGAGGCGGTGGTGGAGGGGGGTGGCCGTGACCGCGGCCCACCCAACATGGGAGGCGGCGGACGCTTCGATCGCCCCTGGGGACCGCCGCCCTCTAACCGGTTATACATCTTTCTTTTATTTATTCTTACATTGTATTATCTAATAAATACCAAGCTCTCTATTACTAATTTGATAGCAGATTTAAAATTTTCTTATACCAAATGTAAAAAAAAATATTTTCGTCTAAATAAATATAATGTGGTATTTCAAACTAACTACAAAAACAAGTCATATTAATTATAGTGTGGAACCTGATATCTTTTATGTATGTAAAAATTTGCTATCAATCTACCAAATTGTACGTCATTATTCTTGTATAATAGTAGTAGTATAATTCTCTTGGATAATTGCCAACAACAAAATACAAAAGGAACTATGCTTATCGTATCACCCCTAAGAATATATACAAGAACTTTTTACAACCTGTAATAAATTACACTGACTACTACCCCTCAAATCATAAAATAGCTAGTAAATAAATGCATAGAAAAAAAGGTAAGAGGCGGTTTCGACCCCAACACACTCCTAAAAGCAGGCAAGAAATGTAATTTACCTAGTAATATAAATATTTCGATAATTTTGCCTAAACTAATTTCAAGTTTCTCAGCAAGAACTATTAATTGAATTATACTTTGAGCTTCTCTGTGTTATAGAAAACTATAATGCAATATCAATATTATCAAAACCAAAGCAACTTGTGAATACAAGGGGCTCAGGAATGTGCAAGGCCCATTTTCAGCAATGAATTTGTAAAGGGTGCAATGGTGATGGTGAATACAAGAAATTATTGATAGAAGTCTAAATAAATACCTGTAATCTAGAGTAGACATTTTTTTAAATTTTATTTTGGTTAGTAGACAATAGACTATTTCGCTTGTTTTTCGTTTCTTTTTTAAATCAATATCCATTGTTTCTCTATTTTCTTCATTACGTAATGTTAATTTCAAGTTCAACAATTCATTGTATATTATTTAGAGATGGGCCGAATATTCGTTTTATATTCGGTATTCGGCAGCATTACCGAATACTCGTATTCGGCCGAATATTCGGCTAAATCACCAAATATTCGGTAAAGTGGTACTCAAAGTATCCTCTGTATTGAAATGTACGAATTGAGTAATGCATGGCTTTAATAATTTTACTGTTGGAAGTATATTTATTTATGGGATAAATCTACTTGTATAGCGTTATGTTTTTGAGGCACTGTAGATTTATTTCCAATTATTGCAAATAGAAAGCTTGATAAAATTTTGTTTGGAATCAAACAGAGAAACGTTACATTACAGTCGTCAGTTTCTTTAAAATAGTAATAATAGTAGATTTCCTGCCACTCATTTTCATCATATACTTATCAATTTTCACTAATAATAACACAACGAAATACTTTTTTTCATACAAAAATAGTCAAACATAAGCATGTGCCGGCAATTTGCTCAATAGTAGATGATGCAATAACATGTCAGGTGTACGGGGAAGTGAGTGGCAGGCTCCGGCGCTATTCCCGCGCGCTTCACGGTAACAAGATTCAACATAAATTGGTTAGGTAGCGAGGTAGTCCTGCCGAATAATGTTCGGCCGAATATTCGGTTCGGTAAAAATTATACCGAACTTTCGGCCGAATATTCGTATTCGGTGAAATCCATATTTGGCCCATCCCTAATATTATTACATTTGATTATACCACTTTTTACGAAAATTATTATCTGGTTAAATGTCTGTTAAAATCTTAACATCTATGTAACAAAAACAAAAATGTAGAAAAATCTGTAACACTAATGGAAAATTCTCGGAACGTAACTCAGTCGGACTTAAGGTGATAGAGATAGCACGAGACTTTAACGGCATCTTAAAGTTGAATAGCCTTTGAGCATAATTAGTTTTAAAGATAATTAAGTGTAACATTTTGTGATGTTTTTAATAACGTGTTTGTAGAAATGAATTCGGCGGTGGCGGTGGCGGCGGTGGTGGCGGTCGTAACGACCGTGACAACTTCCGCGATAACTTCCGCGGTGGGCGAGGAGGTCAGGGCGGCCCCGGGCACGGGCCCGGAGGCCCCGGGGGAGCGGGCGGTCACGGCGGAGGTCACGGCGGCGGTCCTGGCGGTGGCCCCGGCGGTCCGGGTGGACCCGGAGGCCCGGGCGCCATGCGCGGCGACAGAGGCGGCCGGGGGCCTCCGCCTCTCATGAGCGAAGGCTCGCGCTTTAACCGTGACAGACCCACCAACAGAGGACCTCCACCAGACAAACGACCAGGAGGACCTAGTGAGTGCATGTTGATCTTTACAAATGTAAATAAAATTGAACTGTCTGTCTGTAATATACTGGATGACATTTTTTACCTTCTGGAAAAAAATAGGAACATGAACAGAGTAGAAGAAGCATATTATGGCACTGATATTTTACAAAAAATAAATAAAGATTTTTAATTAAATAAATTAATTAATTAAAATCTAATTGATAGAATCAGGCGTTACTTTGAGGAAATCCATTATAATATAGATATTAATAGTTACTTTGCAACCATCCGCTCAATTAAATGATGTGTATTGCCTAGTTTGAGGAGCACCTCCCGCCCAGCACCACTACTCCTAACACCACTATTCTAGGAAAGACACACCATCGACGATAATACGACACATGTTTCTCTTCTATACGAGGCATCTTCAGGTGAGCAGCCGTAGAGTCTACATCACCTGAAGATGCCTCGTGTAGAGGCGAAACACGTGTCGTATTATCGTCGATGGTGTGTCTTTCCTAGAATAGTGGTATTGTGTCTGTCTCCCTGTATCGAGTTATTTGTGCCATGAACACAAGTCTTCGATAACTTCAATTGTAAAGCAATCTCACGTTCGTATTTGCCTTCATTATGTAAAACATTGGTGGCAGAACGCACTTCACTGCTAATTTCGAGTGCTTTTCCCATTAAGCTCCGCTTAAGACGTCTTCAGCAGGCCTATGTTCAGCAGTGGACTTGTGAAGGGCTGTAATGATGATGATGATGAAGACGTCTTCATTGTAGAAACCACAAGTTTAGGGATAGAGATAGTTTGTGAACAAAACCATGTAAACTCAGGTAATAATAAGTCGGAAACACGTGTTTTTAGAAGATAAATAATCCTAATTATTGACCAATGGAAAACAAAAGTAAAGCAATTAGTTTTAGCCCAACATAAAATATTATTACGACTCTACCACCTGGCTCTAACTCTAACACTCAGCCTTTGTGGGTGTTTGAAAACAATACATGTTTATTGTCCAATAACTTGAAAGTGAATAAAATAATGACTTCTTTAGATATTCAATATTAACAATAGAATATGCAGGTGTACATTTCTTTTTTTTATGGGATTTAGTTACAATTTATAGATTATGTTCTTTAGTGTGGTCTTAAACTTTTGGCCCCCAGTGTAAATTCAAATTAAAAGTCTTTATTTTAACAAGGTACAAAATGTTTTGTTCTTGATGTTATCAGTGATATTGTGTTAATAAAACCTATTTAGCTGTTTTCAACGGCGTGCAAATATTCAAGTTTTTATAATGTATAGTAAATTACTAAATTTATATAATTATATTATTAATTACTAAAGTTGTATATAATTTAGGTACACTGGATTCATATTATTATATAAAGAATGCAGTGTTTGATAGGCCTTTGAATTCTTGCTTGTTGTACCATATAAGGTACAATGGCGTACTAGTTTTAGTTGGTTATTTTTTTTTAATAGGGTAAGGGTGATAAATGAGGCCACAGTCCACCTGATCGTAAGTGGTTGCTGTGGCCCATAGACATCTGCATTTTAAGATCAAAATGCAGATGCAATGTCACCCATGAGGTCTAAGATGGAATGCCTTGTTTCCAGTTAAATGAGTGTCTGGTTCTTTTACATTCACCATACGAAAAAACAACAGTGTTTAAGCTGCTATTTTTATGTTGGTATTCTGGGAGAGTGCAGTATGTGCTCAGTCGAGCTGATCTACTTGTGCTACAACAACTATACTACTAATATAGCTGCAACATGGTGCTACCATGTGAAACGTTATTATTTCTTTGTGAAAATTAGAATAATATATATAAATATTGTACACTGTAAATAAAAATTAAGGAATAATGCGTTTTAGCTAGTTGTAAAATAAGCGATTTTATTAGTAAATGCAGTCTGTTAGGCTCTACCTTTGGATGGATAGCAACTTGAAACTGAAATTAGAAATGCGCATCTCTGTATCTGGTACCAATATCTAAAAGTATAATAAATTATTAATAATGCGTTGAGTATAATAATGAATGAAATGTCAAATTAATATTTGTATAATGATTTTTTAAATAACCGGTAGCCGGACTAACTATGACATTGGGACGTCAAACATCTCAGTCCCTCCCGTGACCATGGGCGCTGTAAAGCACCCGAAACGTCGGGATAATAATAAAAACAAATTAAAGTAATTAAACGCGATAAAATCCGTAAATAATAGTTTTATTTAATATTTGTATTTTGATATTTTGAGTTCAAAAGTGAGTGGTGAGTAAAGGAATGTCTGTAATTACAGTGGGCAACCTCGGCGGTGGCGGTGGAGGTGGCAGCGGCGGCGGTGGCATAGGCGGTGGCGGAGGCGGCGTCGGCGGTGGCGGCAGTGGTGGTGGCGGCGGCGGCGGCGGCGGCATGGGGTCGTGGCAGCGCGGCGGCCCGCCAAGTCAGCCGGGAGCCGCGCGCGGTCCGCCTAGGCCGCCGGCCTCGGGCCCAGCCGGGCCGGCCGGGCCACCGGGCGGCGCTCAAGGTCCGCCCGGCCCGCAGGGACCGCAGGGGCCGCAGGGTCCACCGCCCGTGCAGTCGCGCCCCACGCAGCCCTCCAAGGTACCGCGATACCTCATCTTACTTCTTTTGTTCAATTAAATATCCAACTAGCTACAACAACCAGCTAATGCAACATACAGCTGACAACCTGCTAGTAATGAGTATTTCCGTTTTGCATTGTTCGTTTTTAACTAAAGAAAAACATGTCACTTGATTTACGACTTAATTCTTTATTATATATATCGCTTGCCCGCAAGAATACTGTATTAATTCTAAAAACATACTTTTTCAGGAGAAGCGAATAAAGTTTTTAACTAAAAATATTGTGGTATATCCATATGATAAACAGATTGTTTTTTATTATTAATATGTATTAGTATGTACTCTATAATTATCTTTAAAGACATTACTCTATTTACCATTATTTATTAAATTATTTACACTTTTTACCACTTGTGACTGTATTCTTTTGAATTTTACTTTTGTTCAAGATGTTTAGTTTAAAACGAAAACAGGATTTATATATTTTGAAATGCAATTAAAGTGATGAAAAAAAAAACAAAAAAAATGAAATCAATTCTCACTTATTTACTACAAAAAGACATAGCATCAATCTTGACTTATAAAAATCTAATGAATAACAATCTTAAGGTATTATTCTAGTCTATATCTAAATTCTAGTCTTTGTATCAAAACAAAAATCACAAGGTACTTATTGAACTAGTCAGTATTATTATTTAACAAAGTAAAAACAAAAATAAAAATCTCAAAAATGTTAAAAGTTAGTATTACTTATGTTAACTTAATAGGAACTTTACGCTTTGCAAGCAAAGTGTAACCTGGTAAATATTTGAAGAACAACAACTTTTTGAAAAAACATACTAATTATGAAATTATTAGTTGAGAAAAAAAAACAAGTTCATTACTAATTACACAAGAAAAAAAGCAGAAAAAAGTCCTCATAGTACATACTTAAGAATATTATTAAAAATAATAAGTGATACCTTATTGAATAAGTGAAACCATGACTACTATGAGGATTTGTATTAAATATATAAAAGTTACTTATAAATTTTGATAAAAATCTTCATAGTATTTAGGAATTATGTTTTTTTTTTAACTAATTTCAACAGCCCCTGTTTCTTTTTATTTGTAATTTTAATACTCTCAAAATAAGCTGCAGGTAAATTCGGTGACATCAAGTCGTTTTGAGTGCTGCGAGTGGACTCTGCTACTTTTATTTGCTTATAGGAGGTGTCCTAGTAAGATGTTTTGTAAAAAAAAAAAGATCCAGGTTCTGATTTAGACACATAAATAATACTGAAATCATTCATTTTTACAGATTCATTCAGAATATTTTTGGAAAAGTTTTTTCCAATCTTTGGTTGGCATTTTTTTAAAATCGTAAAAGCTGTCGTAAGTTAATTCATTAACTGCGAATGGTTTACTGTTAGATTTAGCAGTTCTAAATAAAGTAAAATACTGATAAGGTGTATATATCGTAGTTGAACGAAGGGATTTTTAAATTTTTCTTGCAATTAGAGAATGGCAATTATCACCCTCATTTTGGGTATGTCCCTTAATTAGGAATTAGTGAGTAATAAAACGAATATTTTGAAATCTATTTACTGATAAGATGTACATTAAAATCATGAAACGGTTTTTCTGCTGCCCGCAGCAATTATCACTGTAGAATATTACATCAACTAATTGCTCAGCCTTTGTGTCAATTTGGTTAAGATAATTCCACACGCAAGTTGCAATCTCATTCACACTCACATTCAGGGCGGACCCCTTGGACAAGACATTGTTGCTTGTAAGTCATAGACAGCAACTACCACACTGCTCCCTTTCAATTTGTCTTGTTCCTTCTCGGCTCTCGATAGATCTTTTTCAACTAAATGTATATCCTACTCAACTTTAAGACGTTGTTTTTCTTCCCCCGGTAGCATTCATGAAAGCCTCACAAGTATCACACCTATCTTTTTTTATGTGAATAAAAGGCAATATTAAACTCATTATTAAATATATGACTATACAAAACATAGCTACCATATGGCTTATATTCAGTCTGACATAACGTAATCTTTGTGGAGATCAATCAATGTTTTACTGCTATCAATATAAAGCTTATTAGTATTACTGCGACAGTAATGGCTGTCCATAGTCGGAATAGATTGTATGTGCTCCCTTATTTCGGATTTAATAATATTCGGTATTTTGGCGTTGATTTCCATGCTTTCCTCTACCATCTACAGCTACAACGTTACTCATTGTAGGTAGACGCTTTTCAAAGGCAGTCCTTATTACGCGATCATTTAAGGCAAGTGTGGATTTAAAGAATGTTTTACAAACACGTACTTTATTATTTTGAAACGAAAAATAAAATGCATTGTTACTTTGCCTAGGATTTGCCGCATTTGTGTATTTATATTTCGGATTAATTATAGTAGTGCTGTTTATAATTAATTGTCTCTGCATCCTTATGTTGCCCAAATTGTAATATTCATGAAAGATGTTCCATCTATCTTCTTCTGACACATTTGCAGAAAATTTTAGACGACACTTCTCACCACATGGTGGCCCTACTTTTTTGGCTGGAATGATTTTTTTGATGTGTAGCTTTGACCTGTGTTTCTTAAACGGTCTTACTATTTAGATCAGATTCGCATGCGAAATCAACATTTTCTAAACATTCGATGTAGCCGGGGCCTTGTTCATCTAACCTAGTATCAAGATTTTCGGATGAGTTCAAATTATATTGACGGTTATTTGATGTCTCACCCTGTGCTACTATACATTTTCAAATATAATCTAGTTTTTTCTGTGGTATCATTCTGAAATAAAGAATATGAAACTGAAGATCATAGACAGAATTAGACAAACTGCTATCTAAATTAAATAGTTGTAAAAAGAACATCACAGTTTTTACCTTTGATACATTAACATCAACTAAAATTCAAATGAACACAGACACATTTTGTAATAATACTTGAATAAGATACAACTTATGGTGAATAAAGTAGCAAACAAAAAAATACACAAAACTTTTAATAGATCATAGGCACAACTCAAAATAATACTTAGTTCATTTAAATGCGGGGTACACTAAGCGTTACGTTATAGTGAAGAATACAGGTTAATTTTCGTGTTATAACTCTGTTCTAAATAGGATTTGGAAAATAAAATACTTACTTAAAGGAAAATACAGCAAGAAATCACAATAGTACACTTTTCTTCTTATGGGTAAACCGAATATATGTATCATTAATAGATAATACTCTGTTTCAAATAACAACACGGGTGAAACTAGTTCAAGGACAGGATCAACACTAAACGTGTCGTTCTTCCTTTTTCTAGCGAAACAGAAAGAGCTAGAAGGATATAGATGCAACTTTCGTAATTGGTTTATTCAAGGTGAAAGCGATACTCGACCTAATTTCAAAGGTAGAACGTACTTTTTTTAGTCAAACTGTATTATTAAGTCAGTTAGTGCCAAATTTTGACATGATACTGTATTCTTCCGGACAAGCGATATAACAATATATTGGTATTAAAAAACATGTAGACTAATAAGAAACTAAGTGAGTCCTCTTAGAAATCTAATTTAATTTTATGTGTCTATTTCACCTGTTTAAGTTAATCAAAATTAACATTTTTTTTTTACTTATTTGTAGATATCGATAATTCCACGTCATTTCATACTAATCATATTCCATTAATAATTTTTTTTACCTTTCCGCCACAAATTTTTCTTATGACTGATAGATAATACCATACATTGAACTAAAACAAATTACTACTGGACATAACCCCCTAATAATAATAACGTCCTCCAGACCGAGATCCAGTCACGACGACCAGCCTCAACAGAGACTAGCCATCAATGCGGAACAGTATTGTAAAGCCTAAGTGTATGCGCAAGCACACATGCACTCTATTCCCGCACTATCATAGTCCGATAGGACTTAACCTACTCAATCACAGCTCTTTTCGATCAGGCGCAGAACCAACGTCTTTACGTGCTTTTCGAAGCACGGGGTAAGACACCGCTAAACTTCCTGGCTCCAGGCAACTTTAAACAAATTTATTGACAGAAAAAATAAATGTCCCAACTCAGGATTAGAACCAAGGACCTCATGATCAACAATCGCGTTTACTTCCTACCACTAAAGCAACAAGGTAGTCAGCATAGGCCTCTACCATTGTAACAAAATATTGCTGGACGGACGCTGGTGGTGGTCCCATATAAATTTGTACAAAATCCACACCTAGGGATGGAAAAATAGGGAATGAATTTCTAATTTAAGTATGTAATAATATTAAGATTTTAATATTCCTGTCACCTCTATCCTTCTGTATCAACTCGAAAACGGCTCGAACGATTTTGATGAATTTTTTGATGTATTTGAGTGTCTGGAAGACTTAAAAACTCAATTGTACCGGTAGATGGCGCTGATGTCGAGATCGAGTTTAGTATAATTAGATTTCCGCTTTTACTTTTTATTAAAAGTAATTTTTTGAAACTTATTGCTATCTCCAAGGTTCGTCAAAAAACCCACATACGAGTTCTGCCCCTCCATTAATAATCTTTTATATAATTATTTTGGCATATTTTAATTTATAATCTCGGAATAAAATGGATCTTGCATATAATCATAATAAAATAATATTTGATTGTTTAGGAAATTGCCACACAGAACTCAAATCAGGCTCAAAGCCAGAATCAAAACTCACAGAATTCAAACCAATCTGGATGGAACCAGTGGGCAAATCAATGGGGTGGATGGGGCAACTGGAACCAAAACCAAGGTAAGTTGTTTAGTAAATAGTATTTTTGTCGTAGCATTCCTGAGAATGCTCTTTCTAATGAAACTATATATTATATTATAACACGGGTAAATTTTATTAAATTTATTATGATTGAGATTGGTACCCTTAATGGTAATCATCTGCCATAAGGAAGCCGTAGTAGCTCAGGAGTTACGCGCTCGCAGTAAATTTCACAGGACGCGAGCAACCTGGGTACGATTCCAGCCAGCATCAATGAAATTGTATATCCGATTATCAGTCAAAACATCCATCCTGGCTATGTGTGAAATATCTATTGTCAGTAACTGTCGCCCATTGTGGGATTCAATTCCCTCCACTTTTCGCCTTTAAAAAAAAATATTATAACTACTATTATACTTCGCTTTTAGCACTAATGAAATAATAATATATATATATATTTAGATGAGAAAACCATCTTTATATTTTATTGTATAAACCATAACATTATACCCATATATTTTAAGAAAACACGAAATTAAGTAAATTATTTCTCCCGGGCAGTAAATACAAGCCGCAATGTCTGCAACATTTAAGAAATGCGCCGTTTATAAAGATACTGTAGGGTTATGTGCAATTTTAAGTGCTGATTTACCCAGTGCTCGGCGGTGAAGGAAAACATCGTGAGGAAAGGGGCATGTCTGAGAAATAAAGAAAAATAATGAAATATTTCGAACTTATGTGAAGTTCTCCAACACGCATTGGGGCAGCAAGGCAAACGTTTCCTTGCCCTAAAATCCCTCTCAGAAATGAAAGGCCTGTAACTTTAATATTAGCTATACAAGTATATTTACGAAAGTTCACCGGATTATATTTACCTGTTCTTTTAAAAGGATATCTAGGCTACAAGAAATTTGAAAAGGTTTATTAACTATATTGCTGTTGAGCTATGCCCCTACAACTGAGCCAAGTAATCAAGAAAGGCAAATTACAGCAGTTCTTAAAACTATGTACTACCCGGTCACATGTTTTTATACTTTGTACAAATTATAATATTATATTGTAAATGAATGGTTAAAAGTTTTTTGCTGGTTTTTCTCAGGACAGAGGTTCCTTTCAATAAGTATTATTACTATTGAAAGTAATTTATATATATATATATTTTGAATAAAAATTATTCTATTTAGTGTGTTAAGAAAAAATTCTATCTTTAGTGACTTGTTTCTACTTGGGATAACTATTTTTGAGTGTTCGCATTTAAATTATTCTTCATCTCTTCAAGTAAAACACATTATAACATTTTTTTTCTTTAAAAAAAAAGCAGGTTGGGGCAACTGGGGTAACTGGGGCTGGCCGCAAGGTGGTGGTAACAACCAATCTGGAGGCGGTGGGAACCAAGGCCAAGGAGGAGGCGGTGGTGGAAAAGGCAATCAGGGCCAGAACCAAAACCAAAACCAGAACCAACAGTGGCCAAGCAATTACACCGCTCAACAGTGGTACCAGTGGCAACAATGGCAACAGCAGCAACAGGGTTGGCCTGGGGTGAGTGAAGTATTATCGTCTTTTAACGAAGTTCAGCATTTTTCAGATTTTTTATAAAGAAGGTAGTCAAAGATAATTTCATCTGAATAAGAAGGCGGGTCACTGTATCATAAAAAATTATTTTATTACACTTTCGAAATTTTATTGGAAAATATTAGTATGAACTGTAAAGGATATTTTAGTGGCAAACGTGTCAACTCTTAGGTGGTAGAGCTACGCTGCAGCTATATTATGTTTGTTGCACGAATGGCTCGAATCGACCAGGGAGGGACCACGCTCTCACAGAATACCAGGGGTCTACATAATACATCAGGGGTGACAACGCATCTGCGTTTTGATTCTTAATCGAGGATAAATGTAGATGTCTATGGGTCACAGCATCCACTTACCATCAGGTGGACTGTGTGCTCGTTTGTCACACTTGTTCTATTAAAAAAAAGTCAGGGGCATGATTACTTCAGTAAATGAATCATTGATGACTAAAATTTTTCATTTGTAGTACGAGGGTGGATTGAAAAGTACTCGGCCTAACCAAGAAAATAAACACATACTAAATCATTTATATTTTTATTTTTCTACATAATCACCAACAAGTTCAATACACTTTTGCCACCTCCCCTTTCCAAGCATTTAGACCGTTGAAAAAAAATGATTCTTCCTTAGAGTCAAAATATGCGTCTACAGCTGCTTTGATCTCGTCGTTTGTCGAAAATCTTTGACCTCCCAAGTGCTTTTTTAGGTTAGGGAACAGAAAGAAGTCTGATGGTGCCAGATCAGGTGAATACGGCGGATGCGGTAACAGTTCAAAGCCACAGTTGTGAATTTCAACCATTGACTGTACTGACGTGTGAACACGGGCGTTATCTTGATGAAACAGGACTTTTCTTCTGAGCATTCCTCGACGTTTTTCTTTTATTTCCTCTCGTAAACGACGTAGTAAGGTGCAGTAGTAATCAGAGTTTATAGTCTGACCCCTTTCAAGATAATCAATCATAATCACACCTTTCGAGTCCCAGAATACTGAAGCCATCACCTTATTTGCCTACAAAATCGACTTAGCCTTTTTAGGGGGTGGTGAACCAGGTCTTCTCCACTGTTTTGATTGTTGTTTTGTTTCCGGTGTACAGTAATGAACCCATGTTTCGTCCATAGTAACAAAACGATTCAAAAAATCATCTGCATCGGCTTCAAATAACTCCAAAGAGTCGCGTGAAATAGTCAATCGCGTCCTTTTTTGTTCAACTGAAAGCAGTCGCGGAACCCACCTCGCAGACACCTTGTGGAAACTCAACTCGTTGACAATGATGTTTTGAGTTCGTTCATAAGAGATGCCTATAATCTCGGCTATCTCTCTAATTTTTAATCTGCGGTCTCCCATTATTAAATCAAGTACTTTTCGTCAGTAGTTGACGTCGAAGGCCTTCCAAAGCGGGGTTCATCTTTCACACTCTCTCTACCACGCTTAAATTCTGCTATCCATTTTTTGACGGATGAATATGACAGAGCACAATCGCCTAATGTACTGACCATGTCATCATGGATGGCTTTTGATGATAGCCCCTTCTTATGGAGGTACTTAATGACGGCACGCTGCTCGATTTGCTCCATTCGCGGAAATTATGTCCGATTACTTTGTTAATAAATTTATAAAATCACAACTAATTATCGCACACGTTTCGAACTTCACACAATGAACTAGTCTGAACTGAACTAAATAATGTGCGTAGATTTGATTTTTAGAATTGAATGGATCTGTGTTAGGCCGAGTACTTTTCAATCCACCTTCGTATAAACAATTTATTGCTAAACATAGGCTTTTTAAATTTGACACTTTTTACCCTTCTGCGTTTTATATCTCTTGTTGGTATAATACAATTCAAGGGGGTAGGTATTTGGACGCCTTCTTTTCTCTATATATTCACGATACTGATGAAGAGATATAGGACAATGGACTATAGTACATTGTTTCTCAGTCAGGGTATTCTCAAGACTAAGAAGTTTGTCACTATACTTTTGTTTTGTTACCATGGTTTCAGTACCAGCAATCACAAGGCAACCAACAGTCTGGCAACATGGACCAACAAGCGTGGGCCCAATATTATCAGGTAACTAAGTCGTCGTAATTTCTTATACAATATACACATTGTTAAAATAAATACATATTGTATATTTTTGTTGGTAATGTAAATAGGTAAAGGAAATCTTGCAAGCATTTTATGAATAATCGTTTTATATACACTCAAGATTTATTTGGCACTACTAGCTTAACATCTATGACTTACTTACCTTCTTGTTCAAATAATATGATATAATAATTGAAACATGTTATTTGTATTAACATTATAATATTTTTACTCATACAGAATTATGGCGGCGCAAACTCTGAACCTATTACAGGCGTCCCTCCCCCTGACAAGAAATAACGACAAGAAACGTAATTTTATAACTGCGACGGGTTAGAATCATGATGAGGAATCATTATCTAAACAAAAGCACATTATGCCAAATTGTATTAAAACAGTTGACAATTTTAATTGGCTGTATATAAATATTAACTAATATTCCATTATGTATTTAATATCGACAAAAATTAAAATTATACCTTCCTCAAAGGTATTTTACAACATGGCATTACTATGTAAAAATATTTACTTTAATATTAAACTCGATTTATATAATATAGACCTAAAATGTATCGAATAAGGGAGCTAAATTAATTTTTTAAGCTTTCAGTCGTGCTTTAATCTAATTAGACTAATAATACAGCACACACAGTTTGCGAAGTTTTAAATTGCACTTTATGATATCAAATTTAAAGCACAACAGTAATAGTATTTCATCTTTTACGTTAAAACTAAAACGACGTAAACATGAAACAAGACCCGTCAGTTAACAAGTAGATAGTTCTGTTTTTGATTTGCTACTATCGATGTATGCATTAAAAATAAGTAGTTTGTAAGTATTTGGGTTATAAGGTTTTAATGTAGGAGACTCCAGTTTCTTTTAGCTAAGAGCTTAGTACGAAGTTGTTTTTAAATGTAAATGATACTATATTTTTATAGTCGTTTGTGAAGCACGTTCAATATTATTCACTGTTTGTGTGTACTTTGGATTGTAAAATTACAAGGCACATAATAGAGTAAAGATATTGTGACATTACAACATGCATCTTGTGATTTCTCTTTAAAAATGTTTACCGAATACGAATGTACTTTGATAATGTATTTTAGGAAAAAAAGAAGAGACAGAAACGGCGCCTCAAAGTAATTAAGGTTTTGTTAGTTTAGATGTAGGATCAAGCGCATTTTAAAACTTGTGTACTGTGGTATAAGAGTTATATTACAATGACAGATTTGTTATAGTGGTGTGAATGTGTGTGTGGTTGTAAGTATTCATTGAACTACATGTAGTAGTGCCGTGGTTTTAAGTTTGAGGTGTTATTCTGATGCAATTAATTGATTTAAATAAAATTGTACTAAAGAATGTGTTGGATTATTTAGAAATCACCAAATTGCACAAAATAACACTTAAATATTAGTGTCAATAATCTTTTATTTCCCCTGATATTTATTTGGTCGAATGTGAGCAAAATAGAAGTCGCACGAAGTTAACCATCCATCCATCCATTACATCTCTTCATAAGTCCACTGCAGAGGCTGCTAATAAATGGTAGCCATACCCTACTTACGTTACTTGTTCGTGGCTGAACATGCCTCTGCAATTTTTTATTTTATTTGTACTTCAGTCTTGCATTTATTGTGTTATACGAGGGCGGCACTGAAAATTTTGGGAATCAAGGAAGTGACACAAAATTACTATTTAAAAAAGTATTTATTGCTTTTCGAAGTATTCTCCGCGAAATTTGACACATTTTTCCATACGATGGAACCAATCATTGAAGCAACAATCGGGTATCGGATATCCACCGCATACGAAGCCATGTATGGATGCCAAACTTTGTGTTTTTTTTTAGGCTAACGATATATCTCATCTTAAAAAACTTGTTTATATTCGAACCAGCATTTCATCGATCAAATAAACAACTTTTCGCAAAAATAAAATTTTTATTCCATCTCTAATAATTAATGCGGTAAGGGGTTAAAATGAACACTCCCAATTGTAACGTTTTTGGAATGGAATGCTTGCAAAAATACGTCCAGTTCTTCGCTAACATGTCATCTGTGGTACATACCAAAGAATTTGAAAAACTTGCAAATGTAAATACATTAAAAGTGACGAATTTATCCAGGATATCAAATCACATCCGCTCAACATTGAAATTAGTGTTGGTAATTGTGCCTGGACATAATGCAAAATTTATAAATTACGCAATAATATTATTTAAAACGACGAAGTTTTTTGATAAGGTTTATAGTTAGGTATTAAAAATTAGTTATGTCTTGAACTGTACTTGGGGTGAAAAGTCGGAAGAAGAAAATGAATTCCGATTATTCACCCCGTTTGGGGTGGATAGATGGATAGAACGCGTTTCCGAGTATCCACCATATGGTGGATTCTTTAAGATGGATGAATGAAAGGAAAAATCCCGATGCATGCACATTTTGATTTTTATTTGAGGATAGATGTCTTCGTTTTTGACGTCGAGGATTGATTGTCTATGCGCCACAGCATTCCTGATGGTAATCAAGTGGAATGTGTGCTCGTTTGTTACATGCGTACAATGTAGTATCCTCTTAGTAGTCCGTGTTTGTTACCTTTAAAATGTAGATAATGATTATATACTCTTTTCCCTTTAAAAAAAAACCCGCAGTTTAAACTATCCATAACCGCATATATATTACTCTACTCTATGACCGCTCCATTATAATACAAACGAGAAATAACAATACAAAATATTCTCAGCACATCGAGTAACATTTCTAGCTTAGAGTCTACAATCCAACAGGGAGGCACAATTAGTGGACACGAGCCAAAGAATAAACTACCGTACGAGCACACGTTAAATGACACGTCAAAAAAATTAAAAAGTACGATGTTATAAGAAAACTTGAACAGTTTAACCTTTTGAGCGCCACGCCAAAAACTCACTACCGTGTCCTGTACGCCAAAGCGAAAAGTAAACAAAAATACCTACGAAAAAAACAGTGCTGCCAAGAGTTGATATATCGATAACACAAAATAACTTGTTTTTGTTGGTTTTTTATACAATAAATGACTCTTTATAATCGGGTATGTTTTATTTAATCTTGTGCTGTCTTCCACTCTTTTTATATATGTACTTTGTACATAAATAAAAAACAAACATTAACAATAAAATAGTAGTAAACCACAACACTACTCTCCATCGTGATAACGTCACTGTCACGACTGGACGACAACGGCGTAGCTGACCTTTCTTTTTGAAACTTTCTTAGAGATGTAGCCGTGTCGCACGTTGTGAATCGATTTCAAAATCGATCTAACCAAAATATACAGACATCGATTCAAAATATTTTATGGCAAGGCGTAGGCCAAGTGAATCACAGAAGAAAAGTCTTACGCTCTTATGATAAAGGGGGTTTTATATGATGCTGATGTTGCTAAATGATTTTGAGATTGAGAAAGAAAATCGCAAAACACAAAATGGAAAATTGCTCTTCATACCTTAAGTAAAGAAAACACATTTATTATTTGTAATTTTATATTATTAAAATAGAAAAGGTACATAATTATTCACTATAGGTAATTATTCGCACTAGGAAAATCAGTCTTATAATATTAAAATCTTGGTCATGGAATAAAAATCAGTAATTATTATAAAAATCAGCAAATGGTACATAATTATCCACCAATCAACAAATGTATATAATTATTCGCACTAGGAAAATCAGTCTTATAATATTAAAATCTTGGTCATGGAATAAAAAAATCGATACTTATTACAGAAATCAACAAAGGGTACATAATTATTCACTAATCAACAATTGTAAATAATTATTTTCACTAGCTCTAGTCATAAAATATTGAAATCTTGGTCTTTAACTCCATCAGTACTTAATATAGAAAACAACAATTAAAAATAATTAGTAAATTATAGGTAATATTAGTCTTAAAATAATAAAAATCTTATGGAATAATAAAACATACATAGGTGTTTAGCTGTCCAAAGCAAATTTTCTAACGTGGTAGAGCCATGCTGCAGTTATATTACGGGAGAGTAGTTGTAGCACGAATGGGTCGGCTCAACCGGGGAAGAACCACGCTCTCACGGAATATCGGCGTAAAATAGTAGCTTAATGCTGCTGTGTTTCGTACGGTAAGTGTAGAGAACCGGAGACCCTTTTTACTGGAAACGAGGCATTCCAAGTCCTCACGGCTGAGAGCGCATCTGCATTTTGATTCGTAATCGAGGATAGATGTAAATGTCTATGGGCCACACCAACCACACCATCAGGTGGACTGTGTGCTCGTTTATTACGCTATGCTATAAAAAAGAAATTAACCGTAAAAAGACTATAAAGTGTATTCCTACCTCATTGAGGTAGAGTTAATCGAAAACGAAAATCTGATAAGCTTGACATTTAAAGAAAAAGTTCACATATTCATTCAATTCACTGGTATCATTTAAATCTGAATAAACATTATCTTATTACTTCATATTTTAAGATTTTATTTAACAATAGTTGAGCACTGAACACCACCTTCCGATCAACTTCAAATAAGGAAGGCTGCAATTCTCTGTCCACTTCCTCATATGAACCTAGGCGTTATCCATAATATTACAGAACCATTGAGGCTGGCTGCCGTGACCGAGATTCGATCTGGAGGTCATTAACATTATTGTAAAAAAGACGTACACACAGATCTATACTTACCGTTACACAAATTTTAACGTTAAGGCTAAACAACAGCGTGCAAAAGTTTGCATAGACGTTCGCGGCCGCGATCGGACGGCGGGCTTCGGAAGCGGTGAGTTATGGCCCCGCGCGTGATATATCTCGCTGGGAGATAGCGCCGACACCCGGCGATGCTCGCCGCGATATGATATAATTAAGCGGCGCACGCCCGCGCGAAATATTACCATAACCCGGTATTGCACGCCGCGACTGCGCACTGCTATATCTGATAGCGCTCTTAATCGACGACCCAGACGTCTTGAAAACCTTGTACTGCACAATAATTAACTCGAGCTCTACGGGAGATCCCGCCGAGCCTGCACCTCGCCGCGCTTTACACCAGATGCGGGTGTATAGTGCCCTGGTCAGTTAATACGAGTACCTTCTTACTGTGTTTGCCTCCTTATTTGCATTCGAGTGTACGAGAAGTTGTAGCTTTCGAATACATAAGACAGTAGATATTATACAGCTGCGTCGCTTTTAAAGGTATTCACATTAGTCCCTAAACTAAGCCTACTTAAAATAAAAATGTAGTAATGTGTGCACTGCCGACGCCCTTTTTTATAGAATAAGGGCAACAAACGAGC